AATGTTATTAGTTTTTCAAAACGTTTTGAGATATTGTGAAATATTAACACTGTGGAATTAAATTGACTTACAGTAGTCAGTCGTCTTCTTAGTTCTTATGTACATCAGTCTTTCTATGTATGGTATGTAAATATAGGATGTGATTGTTTATTTACCATTTTCTGAAACCATCTCTGATGATTTGGAGATATGTGTTTGCTCTGCTTCTGTTTTGTACTGTTAAATGGACTTTTGATCTTGAACCCTGTTTGTTATCTCCATATTTTTCATTCTGAGAGATTTTCTTATTTTATTTTAAGGCACGATTTCAAGAAGAGAAAGAGAAAGAGATAAACGATTTACACGCACAACACGACAAAGAAATGGTAGAAGCACGACAAACTCTAACAGAGGAATTTCAGGCTAAGCTGGAGGAGATGGAGAGTAAATACAGCAAGGAGATGGAGACTCTGCAGAGCCAGATAGAGACTGGAATGCACCAGAATCTCGCTACCGAGTACAAGATCCAGGAATATCAGGATAAAATTCATGAACTCGAGACCGAGCTAGAAAAATTTTTGAAAGAGAGTGAATCCAGCGACGAGAAATCGTCCAAGCGTATAGTGGACGAGTCTGGTGTCATGGTGTCTGCCTCGAGTGAATTCGACACGGATGGAGAAACAAAGGATTCTGGGAAGGGGACTATAAATAAGGGAGTGGATCAAACAGATTCTAGTGGAGGATTTCAAGTTAGTGAAGTTTGTGAAGAAACTAGTGAAACTGGAGGAGAGGATCTAAGAGATTCAGGAGGAGAGGATCTAAGAGATTCAGGGGGGTTAGTTGTAGATCAGTCGGTGAAGGATTATGAAAGTGAAAGTGGGAAGGAGGAATTGACTCGGCGAGACTCCAGTGCTGATTTAGACAACTCACTCCAGAACCTTAAAGGCTCGCATGCTGCTGCTATAGCTGAAATAGAAGAGGAGTATAACTCAAAGCTGGCCAGTCTGAAAGCAGGTAAGGGCAGTCTTCATATAGTTTTATATTTAATAATTTACCATATAATAATGTATTTATATATATATTGACTAAAGCAGGTGAAGGCTAGGAAGGAATTTTCACTTAATGTAATAATTGTTTTTTATGATAATCTTTTATTATAATAGTTTTGGAGGTGTAAGGTCTAGTGGATATATACTTAATTTTTAATCTTGATACAAGGGATATACATCATCTTTAAGAATCAGAATAAGGCTTTACCATTGAAACAGTTAATGTAATTGTTTAGGCCAGAAACTTTTTGCTTTCCAGATTTCTAGAATTTGTTATTTGCGCTTTCTAGACCTATCTCTAGAATTTGCTATCAATGTGGAGTAAACTCTAATGTAAAACTTCTTGATATTGAAACAGTCATGACTTCACTTTGAATATGTGGTGTTGAAGGGGATGCTTTAATCATGTTAATATAGACAGTTATTTGACAGTTATTCACATTTAGCTTATCATAGCTTGGAAAACCTAAGTCTGAGAATAAGTACTTTAGCATGTTTAGTATATATAAGTTATCCAGTGCTTCAAATATTTTGCAAAAATTCAAAGTAAAGGAACAAAGAAAAGGAAATTCAGTTTATTAGAAATATATTATCATGATTATATTAGAAGTCTATTTAATTTTGGATGCAACATGCAGGCTTTGAAGAAATTCTCCCTCGGCCATGTTGGCCTTAGTTTAAGGGGATTAAGGGATTAAGTCCCTGTGTCTGTGTGGCCTAGAGTGAATTCACCTCTTCTTCTGTTGATTTCTGACCAGCACCTGAACCTATCACAGTCACATTTCTTTGGCTCGGTTCCTGTAAGTCTTCTTGGTCTGATTAAGAAATGTGAAATGGGTTACTCTTTTTACATTTAAGCATATTTAATTCATTTGACATTTGAAAATTTATTTACCAGCTGGCTTATAATGATAATTATGAAATCTGAGAACAAACGAAATAACCATGATCAATGAAAACTTTTAGTTTTGAACCAGGTTAGGTTTTTCGTTTGACATATTAATTAAAAAATGTTTACTTAAAGGAATACACATAAGATGCATATTAAGCTCAAGTTATCCGACAGGCTATTATTTATTGTGCAATGTCTATATGACACAATTTTTTTCTACAATTTCTTGTCATGCCTTCTGTGTGATTGGGTGAGACACATAGTGTATACAAATATATATACAGTTTACATCTATATAGTGTGGAGTTTATATCTCATTTATCATCAGTGTGCCGTGTGATACTTTAAGCTTGTCTCGCTATCATCCTCTGTTTTTTTTGCCTTTCATCTTGTCCCACTCCCAGGGTTAGAAAAGGACTATCAGGATAAACTCAGCCAAATAAAGAAAGGTGAGAGGCCCCGCCCACTTCCTGTGTAACCATGGAGACCACAAACTAATTCCCAGCATGCAGTTTTTAGCTCAACTGTTATCTCTTTTATCCAGAAAACATTTTCTCATATTTTTTTCTCTTTGGTAACAACTAACAAACCTTTACCACAAAGTAATTAATAATTAATCCCCTGCATGTTTTTTCTTTACAATGGTAACTTCTTGAAAACATGGTAACTTTTAACCAATTCCCTGCATGCATTTTCATCATCATAGTAACTTTGAAACCATGGTAACTTTTACGCAATCCCCTGCATGCATTTTCATCATCATAGTAACTTTGAAACCATGATAACTTTTAACCAATCCCCTGCATGAATTTTCTTTTTCATAGTTTTACTTCTTGAATCCATGATAACTTTTAACCAATCCCCTGTTTCTTATTTCATTACAGTGGTTACTTTTAACCAATCCCCTGTTTGTAATTTTTTAGTACCATGATAACTTTTAACCAATCCCTGGCATGCTTATCATTACAATGGTGACTTTTAACAAATCCTGATTCCCCTGCATGCATTTTCTTTTCTTACTTTTTACTGTTTACCAACCCTTTGTATGATAAGTCTTAGTGTAGATTCATTTGTATTGTTTAATAGATTTTCACAGGACAGTCGGTAGTTACTAACACAATAATACAGTCCTTAAAATCTGCTTTAATCTTTCTTTTATACAAAAGTCTTTGGGAAAATACTTAATGCTCCAATTAAGTTCCTTTAGAATGAGTTTTCCATTTTGCTTTTTTTCTCATATTGACTTGTACATCTTAAAATATCTTACAATACATTCTTCCAGAGCTCTCTAGCACCAAAAGTTCACTGACTGGAGAGGTCGTGGAAGGTCAAGGTCAGGGACCAGAGAAGGATGACCTTGACATAGCACACACGGAGGAGCTACATGACCTTGAAATCCGTCTGATGGAGAAACACAGTCAAGACTTGTTTAACCTTGAGAACCAGTACAAAGAGAGAATTGAGGAAATCCAACAACATCACCAGGTCAGGGTCAATCAGACAAGGTCAAGGTTATCTGTAAACAAGGTCATATGTTAATTGTAATGAATGAACTGTTGACTGAAGATAAACACTGATAAAGGTTAACTGTAAAGCAAAGTCAAGGTGAAAATTGATAATTAAAGTAAACTGTAACATTGAAAATTTAAGGCAAATTGTCAAATAATTTTAAGTCACAGTGGAAATTAATAAATGTTCAAGCTGTAACATATCAGTTCAAGTTAAAAGATGATCAATTTAAAGTACATGCAGTAAAATTTGTGAGCCACATTGAGAACACTTAATTACAGCTTTAATTTAACAATAAGGAATAACATTTATTTAAGCATTGAATTCATATTTTTGGCTGTCTTCGGTCCTATAACACACCTGGCCGTGCCGACAAATTGAAAACCGCGCAACGCTTTTATGAAAAATTTTCGGCATAGGTGTGTTATTGGACCGAAGACCACCACAAGTAATTATGAATTCAATGCTTATATTTACATTCTCTAATTTCCCTTCTTCATAATTGCTTATTTCGTTAACATTTAATGTTAATTTAGCGCCCTTCAAAACTATCGTGGTTAATAGACGTAAGAGCCGTTTGTGACGTCAGATGACGTTAAGTGACGTTGTAAAGTTAAATTACGCAAACAAACATTGCGATTAAAAAAGTGACAAATTAATTCTTAACGCACATTACGTTAATTTCTACGTTAATTTTTCAAGGTTGTAGTTTTTCATTAAATTGAAATAAAACATTTTACATTTTGGTGTTTCTAGAGTATTGAAAATGCATATAGTTCCTACTGTGTATTTTAACGCGCGGTGACAAGGTTTCGCGTGTGTTATAGAAATTTGAACGTCGTGGATTTCTAATGGATTTGATAAGGAAAATTACACTGAATGTAAATATAATGAAGTAAAGTCTCTGACACTTCTTTATATAAGTGCATGTGTATTACATTAAAAAAAAATATAGTTGCTACAATTAAATTGTGATGCAGAAGTCAATGAAAAAGTGTTCATGAGTAATTCTTTAACTTAATATAGAATATATTATTATTTTCTGTCAAAATTGTAACCAATTAAATATATTTGACATTCTTAGGAAGAAGTAAATAGTCTTTAGCGCCCTTCAAAACTATCGTGGTTAATAGACGTAAGAGCAATTTGTGACGTCAGATGACGTTAAGTGACGTTGCAAAGTTAAATTACGCAAACAAACATTGCGATTAAAAAAGTGACAAATTAATTCTTAACGCACATTACGTTAATTTCTACGTTAATTTTTCAAGGTTGTAGTTTTTCATTAAATTGAAATAAAACATTTTACATTTTGGTGTTTCTAGAGTATTGAAAATGCATATAGTTCCTACTGTGTATTTTAACGCGCGGTGACAAGGTTTCGCGTGTGTTATAGAAATTTGAACGTCGTGGATTTCTAATGGATTTGATAAGGAAAATTACACTGAATGTAAATATAATGAAGTAAAGTCTCTGACACTTCTTTATATAAGTGCATGTGTATTACAGTAAAAAAAAAAATAATACAGTTGAGCACTACAATTAAATTGTAATGCAAAAGTCAATGAAAAAGTGTTCATGAGTAATTCTTTAACTTATAGAATATATTATTATTTTCTGTCAAAATTGTAACCAATTAAATATATTTGACATTCTTAGGAAGAAGTAAATAGTCTTAAGAAGATGGTGGAGTATTTACAACAGACAGCAGGTCCAGAGAAATCCCAGGTAAATTAAGTTTTACTTTCTAAATAACCTTCAGCTGTTTTACATGGGTATACATGTATGTACTGTCTCTGTATGTATATTAAAAAGGTGAGAGGAGGATTTGTCCAAGAGTGCTTCTCAGGAAAATATTTTTTGCTACTGGGCAGCATTAACGACATATTTATTAAAATTTTAATTGACCCCACCTACATATTAAAAGTATATAGAATTATGAGGGAAAAAATGCAATTCTCTTCAAATGAAGTATATGCTACTCTTTGTATGTATAATGTAAAAGATTAGCAGATTGTGTGATTAATTATCATATAATTAAATATTTTCTTTAATTAAGTGACAGCTTTTATGGTAAAAACAGTTCTTATTGACAGGATATTTATTGCCAAAGGGGAATCCCAATGGAGATATAAATAGTACAATTCATCTGCTCTCTATAGCAGGGAGATAGAAAAGGTGTCATATGTATTTGTGTTTTTCAAACAAGGGTTGTGTTAACACTAAGCATGTTAGCAATGCTTGAAATGTGGAAATTCTTGTATAACAAATGTAGCTAATGTTGTGGAAACATTTAGAATTTGGTAAGTATCTCTTGAGGGTTTCAGATTTACATCTAGGTGTATTAAAACTGCAGTTACTGAGTAGTAAATGATTTTGCCCTAATCTATCTTGGTTGTAATTTTCATCACTTCAGAGGATTAAACCTTATAGTGTCATGCCTGGATACATGTGTTTTAGATAGGAGTCAGCTAGCCATAATTAAACTGATCAGGATGTAATTTAAAATGTCAACAATTACATGGTCAATGTAGATATATAGTGCTAATTAACTTGCCTCTCATGGTAGACGTTAAGCATTAAATATTTGTCACTACATAAATTGATAATTTGATATGATCAAATGTTGATTGCAAAACACTTAAGTTTTGTGTTATTGTCAGTGTAGATTTTTAAAATACATTTAGGCTAATAGATATAATCATAGAGTGTTAGTGTGTAATTTAAGTTTACTGCATCAAGGTCATATGCTACTCTTGTAGCAGGTGGAAGTTTTAAAGATAAACAACAACATTACTGATATTTACATTGAGTTAATTAAAGCTTTCTGAACATGCTGAATATAAACATTGCAGGGATAAAGTTTATGAATTAACCTTATTATTGTGAATTAGCATGCAAGTGGTACTAAATGTGTCCAAAACTTATAAGCTTTCAAATCATGCAAATTGGTAGTAAAATATCTTTTATAAGTTAATTAAAATATCTGGGATGTGTAATTAATAAGGTATATAGATATAAATTTGTAATCATTAACGTACATGATTAAGCTAAAGCTAGGTCATAAATTTGTTAATATATAAAACTTTTGTGAACACTCAGTAATATTTCTGAAACATGTGAATTTCCTCAACTGTGAAGGGAGCTGCATACATTAGGGATTTTAACAGACACCTGCAGATTTTATCCCTGATATTGTGTCCAGTTAATCGCTAGCTGAGCTTTGATGGATTAAGAAAGTCGGTGTAGATTTGTGATGTGTGACCTGTCTGTATATAATTCCATCAGGAAGCCTGGCTTATCACTGCAAACAGAGAATTTTTGCAATATTTTGTATGCATGCACTTTTAAAAAAAAATTAATATTATAATAACCAAAACATGTATTCATGTACACATTATAATGAGTTTTGATGACCTTGAAGTTCATTTGACAAAATTTTAAATTGAGCTTGTGCTGCAGACCAAAGTAGTGTTTATTATACAATCTCTTCCTTTCTATACCCTCCATTTTCTCTGACTTCCACCCCCTCCCCCCTCCAAACTGCCACACCCCTTGTAGATTTATATTTTGAAAGTGAAGAAGCACATATTCATCTTGAATTTTATGGACCCTTTGTACTCAAGGCTTTAAGTAAATATTCCACCAAGTCTTAGGTGTAAAAAATACCCTGACATACAGATTTATATACCCTCATCTTACTCAAAGCCAAACAAAAACCTAACTCATTTTTTTACTGCATGGAGAGAGTAAAACTTGTCAAATGTGTTTGCTTTAGTCGTGATAGTAGGCAGTATATATAATTATATCATTACAGTTTTACGATCAATAACCCACTCTGCTAAGAACATGAAGAACAGCATTATATTATATTTTATCAATCATGTGTAGGAGCTGAAGAGCCTGCCTTCCCCGGGACCCAAACGCAGTACTCCGGTCAGTGAAATGGACGAGGACGACGACAGTTCCCACGGTAACGGGTCACGCCCCCAGGAGAAATCCGTCGACCTGATGCAGTTTGAGTCGAGTTACGAGGACAGCAGCAGTAGTGTACTGGAACCCCCGACAGAAAAACCGCCCGCCTTACCCCGAGACGCAGGGAGTGAGGTCATAGAATCGGTCAGTAATACACGGGGTCAAGGTCAAATGGTGACCTTGAAATCAGAGGTTATCATTTCAAGTTGACACTGATATATTGAAGTCTTTGTAAATTGTTAGCACTAGCTGGATAAATATTTGAACAATATCTATAGTAGTTAATTATTATGTGGAGTAAATTCTTGGACTTAAAAAAAACATTTCTGAACAATATCGTCTGTTGCTTATGTGTTGCTCTAGAAAAGGAAAGAATCATAAATTTTTTTAATGCATGTAGGTGCAAGCCACAAAAACGAATGCCCCGCTAGAGAGAGAGGTCTCCAGTGAAACAGGAAGTGAACAGAGTACTCCGAGGGACCTACTCCAGACCATGTCCGGTGACCTCTTGACCCGGGGACTACAGACCGTCAATACTCTCGGATCCTCCACAGAGTTCTCCACCGGTGAACAGCACACAGAGACGACTTCCTTAGCAACCGAACTCAGGGACAAGGAGGTCAAAATTAAAGAGGTACAAAGGGGAAAGAAAGAGGTACAGTGTGAAGGGGGGGGGGGGCACGGAGGTCCAAATTAAAGAGGTACAAAGGGGGGAGAAAGAGGTACAGTGAGAGGTGGGGGGGGGGAGGTCAAAATTTAAAAGGTAAAGTGAAGGGCAGACAAGGAGGTCAAAATTAAAGAGGTACAAAGGGGGAAGAAAGAGGTACAGTGAAGGGGGGGGGGAGGAGGTCAAATTTAAAGAGGTACACATGGGGGAGGGGGGGGGGGGGCGGAGGTCTAAATCAAATAGGTACAGTGAAGGGAGTTATTCTAAATCAATGGCTTAATTAGAGCAGAAATTTATATCTAGCATCTGTAACTGTGATTCTTTAGATTCAAAATTTTCAAGATAACTTAAATATGATTTTTTTGAATTTTTTACAGTTGGAGAATGAAATAGAGAGTTTACAAGCAAAGTTTGCAGAGATTGTTGAGCGACGAGAACGGGAGAATGAGGAAAGTCGTAACCTTGAGGTCATGTTACGGACTGACCTTGAACGACTTCATGTAGATAGGTATGTCAAATCTAATGAAGATTGGTAAATAAAGTCCAAACACTTGTTTGTAACTTGTAGGAATGCTGATGTGATATGAATTTATGAGTAAAAATTGTATATATGCGTTTAATGAGAAGATTAATTGTACTTTTCTGTCACATTCTATCAAATAACCCCAAACCCCAAACTAAATTGTTTGCGTGTCGCTGCTTTAGGCGAGGGATAGATCAGGAAGGGAGGCAACTCCGCGCAGAAGGAGGAGTAAAACCAAAAAAGTACAATCACGATCAAAAATCAAAATAATGAAGTGTAACTTCACAAATCATAAGGACACACATTTAACTGCAGTTACCCTGAAATCATTTTTATTAAAAATTTCTCATGTACTTAAAAAAAATCATTTTTTTGTTTGTAACAATTAATTCACTTTTTGTTCGATCTCGACATATGATGTACTGTACACATTAATGTTTTTGAATACTTTTGAAAGATCACTGGTTAATAATGACATTCAATACTCAGTAAATCAAGTAACTCTATACACCTTGAATTTTTTTCACATCTTGCTCATAATCAAGGATCATTTTAAGTCACACCCTATAAAATTTTGGTAACAAATTGCTCATTAATTGGAACCTTATGATTCTCTTTCTTATCTGTCTTTTGATTGGTCAGTGGATATGATTAGTCAGAATTATATTTAATTTTGATTGGTTAACACAGAAACCTGCTCAAACAATCTCATTGACTGAGCCAATAGATTCTCTTATCTTTCTTATGATTGGTCAATCCATCAACTATACTTGATTCTGATTGGTTTACAGAGAGAGCGTCCAGTCAACCAATGACCACCTCCTACAGCTGTTGTCAGATGCCGTAAAGACCTACCTCAATGTGGAGGAGGCTATAAATAGAAAACTGGCCAGCATCGTCACCGGCGACCAGGGGTCACCCTCCATACAGAGAAGGTCCCCGCCCTCACGGAAACCGAGGTCACCCCCCGGGAGCCACCCAAGGTCACCACCGGGCAGTCACCACCACACACCACCAGAACCCAGCTCACCCGGCGGGGCTGAAGGTTAGTGCTTTTTATAGAATACGGCAATGATCAATTGCACTTGATTTAAAAAAAAGTCATAATGAAAAAAAAAAATTATGGGTATGATTGGAAGTCAGAAGTTACATTTCTTTTCTTGTTATAATTTTAAAATGAATGTCCTATGCAGTGTTGTCATTCATTCCTCCATGAGGTACCTCTGCAATGTGCTTGTATCAAAATATAAAATCTTAATTAATATTAACTTATAAAGTTATTATTTTCTAATGCATGTACTGCTCATGAATGTTAAAATGGGAAAAGCTTGAAATATTGTCAAGTGTATGTCACACGTGTTAGCCTATGAAGTATTATGATATTTTGTGTTATTTATAGGAGGAGAGGTCCCTCCCCACGAGACGAGTTTACTGTCCAACCTGACAGACGAGGGACTGGACCTGTCACAGCGGACCATCACAGAGAGTATCTTCCAGGGGCCTGACCTAGATACTGAGGGGGAGGAACTACTGACAGGTAAATAATGGGGAGGGGGGGATGTTACAAATATACACCTGTCACAGAGGACCATCACAGAGAGTATCTTCCAAGGGCCTGACCTATATAAGTTTGTGCCAGAGGACGACCACCAGGGCATGTTCCAGGGTGATACTACATGGGGGGGGGGGGGGGGGGGGGAGAAGGATTTCTGACAGATAACGTGGTTCAGGGTACACAAATTATATACATGATGTTGGAAGCAAGACATGCTAATGGATAGTACTTTTAAACAGACTGTACTTTGATTTGAACATAATTTATTATGTCCCAACATATAAATGGATAAGGCAGTTTTTGTCTTGACAAGTTGTCTCCATTGGAATGTACTTGACAGTTTCAATTAACTTCTGATGAATAAAGACTTAGATGGGGAATCTCTGATTTTGTGAAGAGGTGAATAAAATGATCTTGTATTTAAAAAGAAATTTCTCTCTGAGATATTTATCCTGAATATCATGTCTTTAGAAATGTTAGAGATATACAAAGAAAATGCCTTTTATCGTTCAATATTGCTGTGTAAAGGGGAAGAACTCTTCTGAATCACATCTTCCTTTGCCATTTACAGTGAAGCAATGACAAAAACACACACACACACACACACACATTAAACAAAAAAAAAAAAAAAACACACACACACACACACATTAAGCAAAAAACAACAACAAAAAAAAAACAAACACACACACACACATTAAACAAAAAACAAAAAAAAAAACCACACACACACACACATTAAACAAAAAAAAAAAAAAAAAAAAAAAACACACACACACATTAAACAAAAAAAAATTTACAAAAAAACAAAAAAACACACACACACACATTAAACAAAAAAAAAAAAAAAAAAAAAACACACACACACATTAAACAAAAAAAAAATGAAGGGAATACACTTTACATTAATTAAAAAGATATTTTTAATAAATAAAATTTTATTCTAGAAAAAAAAAAGCATCTTTCTCTGAATCCTAGAATTATATTGTAAACAAAATGAACTTAAAAAAAAACTAGTTTGACAAGAGGGAGTAGATTTGAGACAAGGAAATAAATCATACAGAACCAGAGAGAGTATGAATGAAGGAGAGTTGTATGTGAGACAGACACTTCCTGTGTGTAAAGTGACTGTGACTTAAATGTTTAGAGGCTGCGACAATGAATTCTTGTGTTTAGTCTGGAGGCTTTACATACTGTGTTAATGAGAAGTATACAACGGCATCACACTAATGTTATGGGTTAAAACTGTATATATAGAGGGCTGAATTGTAGTGACAAATTTGTGATTGCTTGATGTGAATTGTAGAGAAGCTGCAACAATTTAAGTATTATATGTTAAGTCAGGATTAAGTTTATAAATTGGTAAAAATCACACGGGAGTAAATGTGACTGCATGGGACAATCTATCCACAATTTGAGGAGAAGCAATTAATGTGACGAATTATGTAGAGATGCTGGGACAAAATTCTCATGTTATATAGTACGAGATTTTATAAACATGGTAAACAATCAGCAAACATTATTTTTTGACACAAAGCTGTGATTTATCTTGGGTGATGTCAACCATTGGTGATTACTTTAGTGAGTATAATGATTTACACACTCAGGCTGGTTTTACATCAGAAACACCATATCGATTGTGTATCTATCTAGAAAAATGACAAAGAGTTTAAAATATGGTCACATAGTGCTGGGGAAATAGGACTTGTAGATTCATAAGGATCACTAGAGGGAGGCAGCTCTATAGAGAAAATGGGGGTCGGAGTGAGAGAGGGGTGGAAGTGAGAGAGAGAGAGATGGAGAAAGACAGAGAGGGGTATTGAAAGGGGGAGAGTGAGAAGATGGAGATAAGATCCAGAGACAAAAATTGTGTGTTCTATTCAGACACTCAGAAAATAATAACACAGATGTGTACAATTATGTTGGTAAAGTTTTAAAAAAAGTTGGCTGCCATCTAATCTGGGGAAATTTGATGACAGAACAATCACTTTATACACACGTGCAGGAAAGTGCAGGTCTGATAATGTCAAACATATGTTGTAAAAGTTAATATTTATATAGAGATTGTGAGAATTCTATGAAAATATAGCAAACTATAAAAATCAGAGGTTAAAAAATAAGCAGAAAGTGCTGTAATTATGTTACATTAGTAATCAATCAGGGAGGAAATTAACCCATTAATTAAAATTTACACAATAATCCAATTGAGAATAGTACAAAAGTGCTATAATGGAAGCACAGAGCTCAGTTATTAGTGTAAAACAATCATTATGATAAATGCCTCCAAAAATAATCTTTTATTTTTCAAAACATACTTTCCTAGGGAAAAAAATGTAGATTTATAAAAGTATAAGATCAAAATACAGATACAAACTTCAAGGCTTTTGACCTTAAACTTAATTTCCATTCAATTATTAACTTGACCAGTGATAGATACACAATGTATCACTTGAGAATAAATTACTCTAAGTCTCATGTGCCTGAGTGGAGGGTGTTTATATACATTGAAACTTATAAACAATTGTTGTAAATAATTTTAGAAAGTGTCTACATTGAGTCATGTTATCTCACACTAACATCACTGAGAGTGGTGGGTATTTATACGTAATGACGGGTTTTAGAAGGCTAATTATTTAAATGGACGTACCATGACACTCCACACTTTCCCTATAATTTACTGAGTGACTGTATAGAGCTGTGTACTTGACTAAAACTATGTAGTTCTGTGTGAAAGAGTTAAGGAGGCCTGCCTTAATAATTACAATGGAATACACATATGGTATGTAGAAAAATAATAATCTGAATCCTGCTAGTTATATCAAATTTAGTTTTATGGGGGAAAACAAACCTTTGAAATTATTGTAAATCTGTACGTGCTGTTGATAATTGCAAAGCTGTAATGTATAATTAAAATTTAAGTGCATTTTTTTAGCATGCTTAATGGGAATATTTGAAATGCATTTATTGAAAAGAAAGTAGAGTTGACATTAATACTGAAGTAGGTGAACTTTTGATTGAATTTTTTTTTATTTTCGCAGAATTTACTTCTATGTTTTAAAAGATGATTGTCATAAGTATTATAATTTTCCTTTGCTAATTCTATGATCCACATCCCTAATTTTAATCTTTTGATCCACCACTTTATTTTCACTTAGATCCACTCCTTTATCTTTGTGTTTTCATCAGATGCCAGTAACCGGCTTCAGAGCTCTGTCTCGCGTCTCCTGGACATGATTGAGGACACCACGCACCAGCTGTATGACACGAAGCGGACCCAACACGAACTGGTCACCACGGTATCGTCAGGGCAACAGGAGTCGCTGTCCATCTCCACGCGCTGCGACGAACTGGAAGAGAGGCTGAGGGAAGAAGTGGAGGCCAAGGAATACCTAGCTATGGAGCTTCACAAGGCAGAAGGTAGGGGTGTCTGTATAAAGCAAAAATGAAAGATAAAATGACCATGACAGGGCTTAAGGTATAGAAAGATGTCAAACATGGCTGCTGATTGTTCTTCTCACATATATACACACACATGCAAATTTGAACAAGACAAGATGGAATAAAAAAGGTATTTCTATGCCTCACACCAATGAGGTTTAAAAGTACAAATTTTCTTAAAAATTGCCAAAGACTACTATAAATGTATTCAAGGCAAACAATGACAGTTAAAAAATCTGCATAATTTCCCACCCACTGATTGAACAGGAATTGTGATTCAGTCTGTGTAATTATGACCCCACTGCTAAAAAGGTATCTTGACAGTATATGATCTTTCTCTTGACAATGGTAGCATATAAAGGAACACCACAGATATGATATCAGTGAAAATATGTGTATGATTTGAGAGTGCCTGTGTTTGCTATAGGTTTAATAGAGGGCTACAGCACAGAACGAGATCAGCGAGAACAACAAGTCAGAGACCTGGAGGAGAAGACGGAAGCCTTGGTGCTGGAATTAGAGACGACTAAAAATAGACTCCTGGACCTGGAAGCGTCGCATCACGAGGCGACGTCGCTACGCAGCGAGATGCAGCGACAGCGAGAACTACTCAACGATAACGTCGGAGATCAGGCTCAAGGTTTCCATGACAACCGCCCTTATTACTTGGTTCCTTTGGTTCCACTAGGTGTCGCTGTAGGCTGCTACTTCCTCAGGGAGTGGTTATTGTAGGCAGACTCAGGGAGGGGTTATTGTAAGCTAGTATTTCTTCAGGGAGATTGTTTTGGTAAGAAGTTGATAAAGTTTTATGCAGCTGATAGATTGTAAAGCCTTTAATGGAAAATGCTCAGCTTTAAAGAAAAGGTTTCATTACAATACTGTATTGATGGAAAGGGAGTAGTAGTTGAAGAGAAAGAAGAGAAGAGAGAGGAGAGAGAAGTCATTGTGAGAAAGTTATTTTCCAAAAAATCTTCACTTGGAATAGGAGGTTTAATGTACACAGGAAGAGATAAATGACTGCTCCCTGTTTATAACATATATTACCAGAAATCCAATGACATTTATGATGAAGTATTATAGCATGAAATATTTTATATCCATGTATAATTTGATCTCATTTTCCAGTAGTTGCATGTGAAGTGCTACATGCATGGATGGTACATTGAGATATTTTTAAGGGGTTGTGATTGCATTTTTGATATGACTATTACACATATATACATTAGGTCATGCAGAACATATATTTATCATTTCTCTTCATATGCCTATTCATTTCACCAAGGGTTTATGTTTTCTCAATTTCTATGGTGTCCATGAATTGCATGTGAAAAAGGTTGTGTCAAAGAAAAAACACAAAAGTTAAATTGGTATAAATTAGGGATGGTACATTGAATAGTCGGATGCTTTAGTCAAACGATAGTCGAATATTCGTTTAATTTTAAATATTTTTTCAAATAATGTTCACTGTTTGTCTTTACATACTAGTTTACATATTTAACCTACGCTATCACCATTATAAAATGAATATCTGAATTGTAAACATGTACGTAATACAATAAAGACTGTACATCAATATGTATCCAATGTATTAAATTTCAAAATTAATGCATTAGCTGCACAGTTTATCTGAATGCCGAATATCAAACTGTTGTAATTGTCCTTTCTTTACATAACGGTAGTATATGTACCTAAGAATTGAAGCCAATTTCTACGTGTCCGTCAATGATCTTTGACAGGTAAACAATTAAAGCATGTCTCTTATAAAAACAAAGAGAGAGCGAGAGCTTGGAATACATTTTAATTATGAAATTTTGTGCAAACAATCAATGATTGTATGAAATTTATATCAGAAAAAGAAAACAAATTTTAATTACCCTCATAACTGACCCCAATTTACATGTATTTACAATTTTGTAATAGCTGTTTAATTATTATTCTTTCTGAATAGTTGTACATTGTATCACGTCAGTTTGAATCTACCTTTTAAAATAGTAAGAGGTAGACAATCATTTAATAAACATGATTGATTTTATTTCTCAATCTGCTTTTTTTTCTAACAGTTATACCATACCATTAATAATAAATGAAATGGGCAAATCTAAGTTTATTACCTTTAATTCAAAATTACTTTGATGAAACACATTTTTAACGAGTAACCGACTGAAGAAATTTTAGTCGATAGTCGGTATGATCGAACGATAGTCGAGTACTCGAATATTCGTTGACATCCCTAGTATAAATTATATTTTTATCTGCATGAGAGAGGGTTCAGTGAGAGAGTTAGAGAGAGATACAAGTTTACTATGTACACACTTTATAATATGAGGTGATAAACTGGTCTATTCCAGAGGCAATATAAGAGTTTTTATGCATTGTTTAATGTCATATGTGTGGTGGTTAAAGAAAAATAAGATGACAGAGCTTGTACTGCCTAATTGTCCTTTTACTTTCGTTTTTTTTTTTCCTCAAAAAAGGACAATGAAACGTGTACAGAATGGTGTGTTGTTAAAGGGACATAACTGCAGATTGTGATTTAATTGAATTCTTTGGATTGTATAAATTTAAATATTTTTCTATGGTTAATCTGTCCACAGTTTGAATGAAGGTTTCTACATCCCCCCTCCCCCCAAATATATTATTCTCAATGTCCCCAAAATATTTTGCACTTGTGTAGAGAGTAAGTATAAGTTAAGGACAAACGCAATGTACCTCACCTACTGATAATTTTTCAAGATATTCTAAATTTAATCTTACAATATCATTACATGTTCTTAGACAAAAAATCAGCATGCGTTACCAGGGAATTTGAAAAGATATCAAATTGTGAAAATTTTTGCATTATTAAAGGAAAAATGCACAAAAATTACAAAACAAAAATTCCAGAATTTTTTTCATCAAAAATTGTTTTAGAAGAGGTGTACATATCCATATATAGACATTAAAAGTATTGCACATGGTTCCTTCATTTAGACTGGAAATCTTCAATTTCAGGGAAGTTCAAACTACATTGCATATGACCTTAAGAGAGAGCTGTATTCTCTCTGGGGTTACCTTGTAGAAGTGTCCGTCTGTCTGTCTGTCTAGCTGTCATTGTACATAACAAATAGTTTTGATTTTTAAGGTCCCAGTATGTATCACACACTCTGAGGAATCGCTCTCTATTAATATTGTCTGTCTGTCTGTCTGTAATGGCACAGTTAAAGTAACCCCTTTCTGTTTTAAATTAAAGTTATGGTGGATTAATTTGGCACTCTATTTGAGATCAGCTCCAGTATTATCTTCCTTAATGATTTTTAAATTCATAATTCTGTTTAAAGGTCTATTTCTACTTGTTTTCTATTCTTTGTTAATTATTGATTAAGTCTGTTTAATTAATAGGTTTTGGCGACATTAAATGTGCACGTTAGTATGCACCAGTCTTTATTAATCCTGTGCAGTCTTAGGAATAGCTGTTGCCCATGGGTCAAATTAAACTCTTTCAACTTGTAATCCTTAAATGATTTGTGTTTTAAAATTGATTATTATACTCCAATGATTTTTTTTTTTGTTTATTATTTTTGATGTGTTAGAAGGGAGGTCTTTTTTTTTTCTCTGTGTTTAATTTTTTTGGAAGGAGTGGAATTTTGGAATCTCTATATTGTTTTGATTTTGTTATTGTTATTATTGATATGGTAATGTAAATAAAAACTGGGAAATAAAATAACCAGATTTTTCTGCATTTTAATAAGGTTCATTTAATATGATTTAAAAAAAAAAAGTGGTCTTGACTTCAAAAATTGCAAAACATTTTTTTGTGAACAAATGGATTAATAATGGAGGAAAAGTGGATTTCTGAAAATAGGATGATTTTGTGGTACGTAAAATTTTCTTGGCAGATTTTTAAATTTTTGTTCTCCTTTCTTGTTTTGTTTTTGTCTATAGTTAATGTTAAATTATCTCTAGATATTTCTGTTTCCAATGTAGAAACTTCTCTCAAACTGTGGACGTCAATTTTTTCTGATATAGGTAGGAACAATACCTGGGGAGTAGTCATTAAGGTATTTCACTGGGAGCATATATTAGGCTGTATGTGAAGGCAGTTTCTTTGGAAATATTTAAATAAATTGGTCATATTAAAAAAAAAAAAAAAAATATGTTACAAGAGGAAAAAAGTATGAAAACTACTTTAAAGCCTATGAAATGTTTCAAAATCTTTAAAAATTTGAAAGTATTTTCAGTTTATTTAAAAAATATGTTTTCAAAGGAGTTGCCTTCTGTAGATTTTGAACTAATTAAATTTTTTTGAGGTATGTTATGCAGACGTCCCTGTTGGTGCATGCAGCGGGAGGAGGGTGAATTATTGTATTTATACACTGGCTGAATTGTCTCCCTTTATCAATGTTTATTAATCAGAGATCATTGCACTGCTATATGTATTATCTTAACATTTTACCCCAGATTAAGACAGTTAAATATAGAATCCTCTATATGAGCTCAGACTGAATATTTGCTTGACCAGAATTACTTAGAATGGTTGATTAATTTTCTATGTTTTTTTTTTGTTTATCCATTATAAAAATGTGTAACCATAGCGACACGGGAACCATGGAACCAAATGACAAGGGCAATAACTCTTTTTACTAATCTACTATAATAATCATTATATGTATTTATATGATACATTTATGCAATTTTCTGTATAATTATGATATTTGTATTTATTTATTTTGACCTTTTAACATTACCAATGTAGAGGGGAAAGGGATATGTTCTGCATGGCTGAATGTGTTGAGTGGTTAACGTTTTCTGTCAAAATTCCCTTTGTGATATAAAAGATGTTTCAAAAATCTGAACAGTAAAAGACAGCCTTTACAGTACTGCTCAAAATTTGTTACCTGTCTTTGTCCAGAATATAATGAATTATATCATTGGTCAAAAACCTCCATGCAAAATGAGATATGGGAAAAATGTTAAATTAAAAAGTAAAAATAGAAGATTTTCTTTAAAAAAAAAAGATTTCAATAAAAATTAACAAACAAAATTGCAAAAAAAAAATTCATTTTGTATTATAAAGACAATTTTATTATCCCAAATGAGTTGAGAAATCTTCAACATTTGAAGAAGTCTGTTTTCCATTGCATGATAAAATGTCATATTCCACGGTGCTGCTTCTGTATTCAACACCTGCATGTTTTCCTGTCACAAATAAATTCCTAATTAAGAGGGCTTCATGATTTGACACCCCCCCCCCCCAAACCAAAAAAAAAATCCAGGGTCCCAGCCAAGGGAAAGATAATAAAATGAAAAATAAAATTTGTTTGTTAATAGAGCACAACTTTAAAGTAAATAGAACAGTCTTGATGTATTACTCTGTTTTATTTTGGAGATATACATGTAAACAAAGAAACCATGAAGCCCTCTTAAGTCTCTATAACAAATCCTACCATGTACAGTGAAACATGCTTATACTTTTAGCAAGTGTCAGGGTTGTGAAAATCTACTTTGTGAAAAGTGAAATTTGTTACATTACATGTTTGGTATATAATTTTTGGCAAGGGAAATGAAAATCATTTTACTATAAAAGTCAATTCATAACATTTTTTTGGTTATAAGCCTGTTTTACTGTATTATTTCTCACTTGAAAGCAATTTCAAATTTTACAGAATCTCTTTATGGACATCTTTGAAATGTATTGTAAGTTAATTAATTTATAAAAATTCAGTGTTCTTAGAAGAAACTAATTTTGAGTATCTTTTAAAAAATATTTGAAATTGCTTGAGACTCTAATCAATTAAGAAATAAGGGCTTCTAAAGAAACAACACAACACTTTAACTTACTAATGCAGGTTTTGGTACTATTAATATTGACCCAAATTCCCCTTTGACTTATAAAAATACTTGCTTGACATTGAATATCTTTTATTGTGCTTCATAGTAATTATGAATTCTTTAATGGCAAATACGAGTATCATTCTGGCCGATAAAATATATAATTTTTCTGTTTGACTTGTTTAATCTATGCATGGCTACATCTGCCATTTTGTATACAAACAGTTACCATGGGAACCGTTGGAGCGCCATCTAGTGACCAAGGTTGGTTATCATGAGTTGTAGATTCTTAGTGCATTATGTTGACTCAGAAAAATGAAACTGTGTCTTGACTATACAGTAGCATGTGGTTTTAAAACCAGAAATCTTTTAGAAATGTATTACAACCTATTTTTTCTGAATGATAAATTTATCTGGTGCATTTGGAGTTAGAGGTGGGCTCTAAAGCATGTTTATATGCTAGCATGCTAAAAAAATCAAAACATCATGTTTGGGCAGGCATAACTTAAGAATTTTAAACATCTCTGATTTGCATGTATTGAATGCCATTGTAAAATGGTGGACTACTGCAGAGCTAATGTAAGCTAAAATTTAGCAGTAGGTTTTTGTTTTCTTTGAGGCATTTTTAGAACTTCGAGAAGCTTGGGCTATTGTGCATGTCAAGCTTTTAAAATCATTGCCATCGGACCAGTTAAAATATGTAATTTAAGTACACGTCTTGTTAGCAAAAGTTTTTGTCATCAAGGTCAAGTTCCTTCATTGAACATTAAAATACCTTGCCTGAAACACCTTTGCCAATAATGACACAATTGTATTTAATTATGTTGGTTGTAATTTTTCTCCTAATTTGATTGGTCAGTGTTTTTAGAACTGTGTGGTAGGCATCCAATCAGGTAATTCATCCAAATATTTTTTTTCATTGGTTGACAGCTGTGCTAAGTTTTAACAGTGTGATATTTAAAAGGCTAACATCGAAATTGAATTTAACAGTGATAAATCTTTGATCATCAGTGGTCATGTTTTAATACTTGGCTTGTTTTTATAATTAATCTTGTTAATTAAAAAGTTTTGTACCTATCAAATATTGGGTTGTAAATTGCAGTGTGTAAAAATTAAATTTAATTAAATTTTCATGACTGCCCTTAATTTTATCAAAAATTTTAACATCCCTGTTTTAAACTGAAGAATTTCAAACATAGCAAAGTGTTAATGAATTGTCATGCCCCCCCCCCCTTCTCTGTGTGTGTTGTGAACTCTGATTAGTTTGACAAGTTTATTTCCTATAAACCTGATTGATGTTGTTACTTTACAGATGTTGTGAGTTTGATTTTTAGATTTTCCTCCCACACTTTTCATTTTTTGATTGTCTGTTGTCACTCAACTTATTTTGCTTGACCCCCAAAAATTCACTGTTATGCAGTATCGATCCAAAATTTGGTGTGGCCTTTGAACTTTTATCAGCGAAGAACCATCCACGTTTCTGCTTCTCTGATTGCACCAACTATCTCACTATAAAGCTACACTGCTAGAATAGAAACCTCTGCTCTTATTCAAGGTTTTTTTTTCACCCTTCGCTAAAAGCATAGGATAAAAAACGCACAGGTGATTATTGCTAGGTAGATTTCAATTATGATTGGGGGAATATGCTTTAATCATTTAATTGCTCAAAAGTTTACTTCAATCTAGAGTTCCATCTAGAATTCAATTCCTAGCTTGCATTATAGCTATATGGGTTGGGAAAAACACTGAATTATTGCTTTCTTGCACAGTAGTATAGTTTGAAAAATAAAAAAAACTAGATGAATTGGAAGAGTTTCCTGGTACATTTCAATTGTTAGTTCATAGGTTGAATTACACATTGGATAATTAGTGATATTGCTTCAATGAATTTATTCCTGGTTATGTCCAAAACGAATTAATTAATTAATATCCAATTAATTATAACTTTCAGCTTCTGAATAAAGTTCAAGGTCAAAAATTTGTACCAAACTCAAATATTGGGGTCACTATTATTTGGTCTTTTTTATGTGTGTGTGTATTTCGTTGTCTTAGACAACAAAACTTAGATTTATAAGTGAAAAAAAAAACTTTCACAGCTGGTTCAAATAAGAAAGCTAATAAATTAAATTGAGCTATTAAAATATATGTCTTTACCAATTAATATAATGATGACTTTTTTCTAGACAACAACTTACCCTATTTGTTAACAAGCATTGAATCTTAACCATTATTTGTATATTTTATGTGTAAAAACAGCTTTGATGTTGGAACTGAACAAATTGAACGACGAAAAGAGAAGCCTTCAACTGCAGCTCAGGACCACGACGGAAAAATACGACAAACGCGTGGCTGACCTAGAGAATGCGGGGGAGGAGACGGAGCGACATTACGTACAGCTGCTAGAGGAGAAGAAATCGGAGGTGGAGGATCTACGATTACAGCTCGACTCGGTGGAGAAGCAGCTCAAGTCAAACCGGCACTTCATTGAGGTAAGAGTGCAGAAAGGTCACAGGGAAGGTGTCAAAAGTGGGTGTTTTTTTTTTTAAATGAAGGTTTGGAGTATCTGAATAGTTTGTGGAATGGTCAAAAATGGTTTGATAAAATGTTAAGAGGAGAAAATTTCTTTTTAAGAAGAAAAATTATGCTTGTTTTTTCCCCTTCCTTATATTTTGTCACTTTTTGCAATGTGCTTCTCATGTGAATTCTCATATACACTTTGATTTGCAAATGCTAAATCCAATAACTTATTTGCCTCACAGCTTCAACAGTTGTATAAAAGAACTTTGAATAAATATTTTTATCATGTAAGTTTTAATTTAAAATGACTTTTTGCAGTATCACACATTCTAATATTCCCATATTTATTATCCTTGAAGAATAACAAATATTTTATGATAATTTGTGATTTTATTTTAAATTGTATAAACAATAATGATTTTTTTTAAAAACGAATTTATAATTTGGAAAATTGTTATTTTTACAATTCTTTGTACTGTTTATTAACAAATTGCCTATTTACTGTAATGTCACCCACATGGTAATAAAATGTTACAGTATGTAATGTAATAATGTAATCAAGTTTCCTCTAATATGTATGCTGGTACCAATAAAATCAGACCTTATCAATTTAATATGATTCTAGACAGACATTGATTAGGAATGCATATTAACAATTTTAATAATATGACATGCAACATTCTGCATAACTGCATCTAATGCAAGAGGAACCTTTATTCAAAATTTCTTGCATAAGAGAAATGCATGGATAGGAAAAAGTTAACTGGTAAAGCATGTCAGATGTAATAGGTGACTAATTTTAGCTATTAGCCTTTTGAATGTGAAATTCATGTGCATGTATGGTGAAAATTAGGTTGGGAGGGAGTGTGTGTCAGGAACTACTCTTGAATGACCCTTTGTGACCTCTATTGACCTTGAATGACCCTTTGTGACCTCTGTTAACCTTGAATGACCCTTTGTGACCTCTGTTGACCTTTAATCTGATAAAGGTGAATGTTTTACAGAGCATGAATTTAACAAGTGAAGTGAGTAGAGAACAAAACATGTTTAAACTGTTTCCTTTTAACAAGATCTGCATGACAAGTTTAGTATAAATTAAACTAGAAATGTTCTTTCAATATTTTGTTTTCTTATTAATATATTTTATACCTACATATGTTCATATATTACCATGTTTATTCAATATTTTATAATATATTATTATTACATTGACTATATTCTTGCATTACAAATTTATATATATCCAATGAACTAATTCTATATTACACAATTTTTCCAGTTATCTTAATTATTGTTATAGGGCTTAAAATAACTCTTGTCTACATACTTATACCTTTTCTATCTGCAGTTTTAAACAACAATACATATATTCAGCATGTTCAGATACTTGTTTTAAGAAAAAAAAGGGGGGGGGGGGTTATACTTCCATAATTGATTATTTCCTTTTACTTGATGAGAAGAGCCTGTGAAATTTCCAGTTAAGTATTTTTATAATTTGCTGCCCTCTGTTAAGAGATATTGCTCTCTCTCTATATATTAGTTCTCTTTGAAAATCATAACTTAGAAGACTTCTTCTGACAAAATCATTGAATGCTGAAATTGTTTGAGGGATGTTTACTCCTCCATGGCACCTGATCCCATCTCTGATGTTTTAGAGGTCTGAGTTTTCTCTGCTCCTGATTTGTATTGTTTTATTAGACTTTTGAGCTTTAATACTGTTCATTATCTCCATATTTTAAGAAAATAAATTTATTATAAGTCCTAGAGACTTCTACATGCAATTCATGTCTTCAAAGTTTTAAAAACTTGCTGGTAATTTACATAATTGCTTGTCTTAAAGTTTCTTTCACATTTGTGCAATGCTTATGTCAACTTGCTAATCCAGCACAGTTGATTTTGTCTGTATACTGAATTTGACTGTAAAGTTAACGTTTCTTTTAAATGGGAGGGGGGTGGAAGTGATAGATTTAAGCGTCTTTCTATTTCTGCTAAGCTTACAACTTTATATCTCTGACTCCATGCAGGCTAAAAAAAATAACCACAAAAATTAATAGATCCTCAAACATAGAAAATATATACTAGCCACATCTTATTTATATAATCATTAAGTCTAATAATTATATATTAATGAATACAAATGTTAACTAAATAATTTATTTTACAACATATTATTTAATGAAACATACTCCTTAAGAATTTGTTGACCAAGTCTTTTTGGTGAATGCAAAGAATTAATTCTCATATGTATAAAAAATGCACAAAATTAATTGTTATGTATCCAGTATATACTATGTATCATGCATGCAAGTTCTGTATATTGAATATTCTCATAATGAGACTTACTAAAACAAAATAAAATTATGCATGCTAAAGAATTCATAGCAATATTCATAAATTTTCTAAGGGTTACTAATTTTTTTTTAGTACATTCAGTCAATACAGTTAAACCTCACTATCTCCAACTTGAATGTATCTGAGAAGCCATTGATTTATCATAGTACAGTAAAACTTGTTTAGTACAAACACGGATATTGCGAATACTTGGATATAGTAAAGTAATCTTGGATCTCCAGCTATATAAATTTAACTAATTCCTTATATGGATAAAACAAATGACAGATATAATGAAGTGATTACAAAGGTCAAAGGTCACAGTGACTTCCTTATAACCAAGTTTTACTGTAGTATTTTAACCTCAATAGCTTGAATCCTTGGATATCTCAGTTTTATCCTTGGCTGTACTAAGTTTGAGATAATGAGGTTAGACTGTATGATAAGATTCACCCCCATGCAGTTTATGGAATCCCTAAAAGACTTGTTAATTATGGCAACAATTTCAGGAACAAGCCAACGAACGAGAACAAGAGAGAGATGAATTTCAGCGAGAGGTCGATAAACTCAAAAAGGCGATATCTGACCAGGAACGAAAACAGGCGGCAGAAAACCGACTCCAAAGAGAGGTAGGATGTCGCAGGGCGATAGCGGAAATATAGCATATGTTGCCCTTGTATCAGTTTTGTTCAGCTATTGGTTTAAAATGATGCGCTGTTTACTATAAAATCTGAAATGCTGCCCTTTTGTGTTAATTGCTGCGACTATACCACTTACTGCTACTATGTTTGTTTAATTGTCTTGTGTAACAGGTCCTTGCACTATTATGCCTTCCATTCATATATGAACTCTTTGGAACACTTTGTCTAAATTAATTGGTCCAGTTGCATAGGCGTAAGAATAAATAACTTTAACACCATGCGGTATTAGCTTTAGTGTCTTTAGCTTGGGGAAACATGGGATTGCAAAAAAAAGTTGATAAAATTTCTCCACTTCATCTTTTATTTCACATTTTCACTTTTGTCGTGATTTTGTTCACTATGAAGTAACTAGCTAACTTTTCAAAGCAAGTGCGCGTTTCACCAATGGATATCACATACACGTCAGTAAAATTCCTGAATTTAATTGTACATTTTGGAAATATCTTAGAAATTCTTAAACTATTAATTTTTTAAGAAGTATACATAATTTATCATATGTGTGCTGATTTCTGTTTTATTTGCAGATAAAATAATTTTACTTTTGGAAAAATCCATGTTCTGCACTAGCAGGGATTTTGCTGTTAAATAATCAATTGACTTTAAGATATTGTCTTTATTAATTTGACCTTTGATAATTCAATCTTCTGTTTGACTTTGATACCGTCACCATTATGTTTTACAGGTTGTTAAATTGACTTTTGATACAGTCCCTGTTCTGTTTACAGGTGGAGAATTTGACAGAAGAGTTACAGGACCGTATTGACAGTCACAGTGAGATCGTGATGCAGACTGAGCGTTTACAGCGGGACCTGTCAGATAAACAGATGACGACGGAGGAATTAACGGCCGTCGTACGGCAGCTAGAACAGGAACTCGAGGAGCGCTCAAAAACAGAGCAGGAGTATAAACAGGTAAAATGGAGAATGACAAACGAGGCTTAAAAAATAAACATCAGGAAAGTATTGAAATGAGATTGATGTAAAAAGTCTAATCAAATGTAATTTGAGTGCCAGAGGAAAATTTTTTTCAATTTTCATATTATGAAATTAAATAGATCTGATGATCAAAAGCTGTAATGAAAAAAGAAGGTTGATACGATGCTGATGTCAGTTTTGACTCAAAAACTGATTGTTATGGCAATATGATGCTAAATTGACCATCATAAGACAGTATCTTTTATACTATACTCTCTGTTTAAGAATTAGATTTTGTTCCTTGTGCCGAGTTTTAAATACAGGGTTGACTCTGTTGTAGAAAATCAGTCAGTTACAGCGTCTATTGGAGCGACGTCGATCGGTCGGCGAGATGTCAGACAAACAGGAAGAAGAGGAGGAAGAGGAAGGTCAAGGTCACAGCGAGTCCGAGTCGACAGGAAGTGAGACTCGAGCCATGAGACGACGGAGAAAACTGCCCTCCCACATCTCACTACAACAGGAAGAGGTCAGTATGAGGCATGATGGGTAAAATGGTCTAGATGTAATGTACATCTTTGAGGATTAAAACATTTTAACAGTAGACCTGGAGGCCATATAAATTAGATGAGCTCATTTTTTATCTCAGTCTCACGTTTTCATCATATATTCCTTTGTTAAAAGTGAGACTGAGATCAAAAGTTAGCTCACTTAAGTTTTATTGCCCCCAGGCTAGATTGTTAATCTGAGGCCTGTTTTATAAAAGGACTTGTGATCAAGACCAAAATTTATTCTGCTTATAACTTTTTGTATTAAATTAAAAATGATTTTCAACTTTTTAAAACGAATGTTGAAAGATATTTTCAGGATAGTAATTTTAAATTCAGTCACAAATTTGCAAAATTTTACAGTCAATTAAAGTTTTGATCTCAGTCATAAATTTTTTGGTAAAACAGGTCCCTGGTGGATTAAAACTTAAATTAGTTTCATGTTTCCAAAATATCCTTTTTCATTAAGTTCAATGCCAGTTGAAAATTTTTATCCCACATTCCAATAAGACAAATCTGAAACAAGTCTGTTCTTTCTCAATTTATCTCAACATTTTGAGATTTATCTAAACATTCAGGGATCTATCTCAATATTTTGGGATTTATTTCAACATTTTTTAATCGATCTCAAATGGGATATATCTCAAAATTGTGTGACATATTAAAAAAATTTGGCATTTATCTTCACTTTTAAGATTCTCGTATATTAGTCATCTATCTCAACAATTAAAATTTATCTCGACATTGTATCTCAACAATTAAGATTTATCTCAACATTGTTGTATTTATCTATCTATTTTGGAATTTATCTCAACATTGTTGTATTTATCTCTCTATTTTGGGATTTATCTCAACATTGTTGTATTTATCTCACCATTTTGGGATTTATCTCGACATTGTTGTATTTATCTCACCATTTTGGGATTTATTTCAGCATTCTGGGATTTATCTCACCATTTTGGGATTTATCTCGCCAGGCTTTGTATCAGGAGAAGGAACAGCTACAGACTCAGTTGGAGGATCAACTCAAACAGATCTCGGCTCTCCGCAATCAGCTGGACGAGATGAGACACAGGGGAGACTACTCCGGAAGCTTCGGGGACGAGAGTCAAACGACGTCACTACAGAGACAGGTGGACAACCAGAGAGAGGTCACAGAGGAGAAAGACAAAGAGGTCAGGGTCAAAGGTTATTGGGTCAAGGTCAGAGTGTGTAAGCAGTAGGCATTGCCAGAACAGTAATTTTTTTCTTTGAAAATGCTTTAAACATTTTATCCTATAAATTTAGTTCAAGTATTTGTCAAAAGTTTATCTTGAAAATGGTGAGGTTTTGTATGAAAGAAACACTCCATTAACACCAGAAAAAGAAAACAAATGAAATTTATTCAGCTTCATTGATTTAACTAGTCCTTCAAAAATACAGCTGGTATTAAAATTCTTTGCCATGGAGCAAATGCAGGCATAAGATGGACAATCTACACTTACAGTCTTATGGTTTTAATTCTTTGAAAATTAAAATTTTAAAAATTAAAATTGTAATCAAATTTCACAGAAATATGTATTGTAAAGATTATAAAGCAATGTATTTTAAAAAAACTAAAATTATGGTATTTGATAGTTTGGAGTACGACGCACGACAAAAAAATTGAAATGCGGATTCAAAAAGTTATATTGATTTACATACAACAACAATAAAATTTGTATGTACAGATTGCGGACGTAATAGAGTTGAAGAAATATAGTGATTTTTCTCTGATGCAATTCCCGTGAAAACGATTTGAAAAGGAATCTCTAAACCACACTTTTGTTAAAATATGTGTAAAACTGATAAGTCAACTGACCAATCAGATTCAAAATATGCTAATAAAACATGTAGTAAAGAGATTGACAAGCAACAAATAGCAAATTGAAATTTAGACAGTTAGACCTCTGTAAAAAGGAAGACCAGGAGGGGAAGAAGATTATAGACGAAAAGTTAACTTGATCCGGACTGTAAAGAACGTGATTTAAAGTCACCAATGTCACACTATATTAAAATTGTGAACCTTGTTTAATAGTATTAACAAGAAATTGTGTTTTGATATATGTTATCAAAAAATGTTATTATCACATATTTTGTATAATGCTTGTGGTCGAAGATTATTTTGTTTACAAATTTCAAAATTAATACCAATTTACAACAGTTTGATATGAAATTTTACTGTATAAGAAAAATTCAACACGATGTTTGTGCAACAAGTCCGCGTAATTTTTGAACGGCCCTCAGAAACTGAGTTTGTTTATGAAATATTTATTTAAAATTTATTTACAGATTGGTAATCTGGAGAGGGCAACAAGGAGTCAATATGACATCAATTTCAATAAAGAGACCAGCCAATCTTACTGTTAGTTATGTGTTTGTGTTTGTATGGAAGTGTAAATAATAAAAATAAAATAATCACAGAGAATTGTGATTATTATATTTCCATTCCTCTAAGTAGACTGAGAAGGAGGTCGATACATCATCAATGTCTTATGATTGTAATGTATTTATTTCTGATTTACAGCGAAGTCTAAAGAAGGAGGTCAATACTACACCTATGTTAGTTCTTGCTGATTGTTATGTATTTGTTTTTGATTTACAGAGAAGACTACGAAGTCTTGAGAAGGAGGTCGATACGACCCCGATGTCGGTTCTGACTCAGAACCTGATTGAGGAGAAGAACCAGGAGATTGATCACCTTAACAACCAGATAGAACAGCTCCGGTTCCAGATCTCGGCTCTCAAGTCCGGCGAGGCACTGGCAGAAATGGTTTGTGTTTTACAATGGTTAAGCTTGTGTTAGGGTTAGGGAAGGGTTAGGGTTATGTGTTCAAGGCGGATTCAATAAATCTAGTCTTACAGCTTTATTTGATCTTGGAAATAGAATATTAACTTGCATTTATTTTATGTACCTCAGCAAAAATAAGAAAGTCAAAATGAAAAACATGAATTATCATCAGAGGGCATTAACAGAAATGGATGTGAATTTTTTTTCTAATGAATAATTTATCAAGTCTGATTCTATCCCTACAGCAATCATAGGTAGACAGACTCTGGGCTGACCTGGAGAGTACAGTATATTGTGTTATGTACAGCCCAGCTATCAGTACATTTAGTACTTTGATTAATTCTGTATTAATTAATTCCTGCAGCAATCTGAGGTGGACAAACTCCGAGCTGACCTGGAGAAGAAGGAGATGGAGCTGGTCCGAGCCTCCCAGGCCTCGACTTTCTCCGACATCAGCGACAACGATGGGGTGCCCGGGGTGTCAGAGTCCTTCACTGAAAAGGTAAAATATAATCTCTGTCAGAAATTGTTTTATTGGAGGGGCATATATAATGAACCTTAAGGTGGTATAGCCCTAAACTAATATATTTCAAAAAGATGGCAGATGGTCCTTTATAGTTGTAATGTAGACAAGTTTGCCTGCTAGGGAATGAACACAATTTCCAATTACTTAACTTGAAAAGTATTCTGTACCCAAGGCTAGCAAAAGGCATTATGTCACACATTACCACTACAGTAAAACACTGACATTGGAGATTTTGATTTTAATTTTCTGTCCGCTGCAGACAAACCTTCAACAGGAATTGGAAGATTCTGTGGCCCAAAGGATGGAAGAATATGAACAACTCAAGTCAGCTCTTCAGCTGAAGGAGGAAGAAATAGTCACCCATCAGCAGACCATTAAGGAGAAGGAGGAGGAGATAGCCGGCCTTAATATGACGCTGGACGAAAAGATGACGGAACTAGAGAACAAGTCAAGGGAGCTCACTGAGGAAAAATCCAAGGTAATGGGATTGATGTCATGGCAACAAGTCTGTTGTCAATGTCAAAGTACTTGAAGCATAGAAAATTGTTTTTATGGCTTTTTTACCCTTCCATAAAATATTCCTCCAACTAAACAACAACAGCTATCCCTATATAAATTTTATTTAATAATTTGATCCATTAAAAAAAAATCTTATTTTTCTTAAAAATTTCTTTTATTAAAATTACCTACCCTGAAGAAGGTGAGGGAACGATTTATGTATCAATTTATTTACATGTATACCTTGTAATTTTTTAATACATAATTATCCATATTTTCATAATTATTTACTCTATGTATTCAATTCCTGGTGACAAGCTAACCTGTGTGGCCTCACTAACAAACTTGTACTGTTTCCCAGCAGCCAGTTACCTCCCCTGCTAGAGAGGAAGCCTACCTTAATGAAATCCTGCAGGAAAAAGAGACACTTATAGAACAAATGAACATGCAAATAGAAGGTCTTAATGGAGAAGTGGAAAGTCTGACTGATTTCCAGGTAAACAGTGGATGGATAGATAGACAGACAATAAGAAAGACAGTCTATTATTAGACATATACATGTAGACAATTAGACAGATAAAAAATTAGACAGATTTATAGAGCAAATGAAGCTATAGATAGGCAATTATAGAACAAATTGATAAATAGATATATATAGGGGGTATAAACCTGACTTATTTCCAGTTTAAACAGATCACTGGCAGATAGACACTTAATGTAGAATAAAAACACGTGTAGATAAAGGGGCTAAACAGGGAAGTTGAAAGTCTTATTGACTTACAGGTATAAACGGGGGACAAATAAACGGACTATTAAATAGCTAGACAAGGATTCCACATTTATAATGTCTGTTAATTTTTAGAACAAGCTTCAGGAGGATTTCGACACGGTACAACAGATGCTGGAGGAAAAAGAGAGAGAGATCGACACCCTGACTAAAGAACTAAGTGAGAGAGTGCCGGAGGATCACAGCGAGGAACTGGTAGGTGGATGTAGGAATTTGTGGGGTGTTTGTAAATGAGTATAGAGGCTCTGACTAAGGATCACAGTGAGGACACCCTGACTAAAGAGTTTAGTGATAGAGTATCAGAGGATCATAATAAAGAACTGGTAGGTGGATGTAGGAATTTGGGAATTTGTGGGGTGTTTGTTGATGACAGTGGAATTTGTGGGGTGTATTAAGAGAGTCAGAAACTTCAAAGTGAATGTGGATATGCAAAATGTTTTATTTTGGATAGACTATACAGTACATGTATGTAAATTAACAAAAAACTCCCATAATGTTTTCTTGGGTTGATATTATAAAATTATTTTAAATGGAATCAACTAAATGGAGTTGCAATATAAAATCCATAAATGTAATTTATTTCTGGTACAGCTTAAACTTGAGATGGAGATTTCGAAGCTGAAGAAAGATCTGAAAGAAAAGGACAATGTGAAGAAGAGAGAGCCGAGGAAATGTATTACTGTCACAGAAACTTAAACTAGAGATGGAGATTTCAAAGCTGAAGAAAGATTTGAAAGAAAAAGACAACGTGATAGAAGAGAGAGCTGAGGAAATGTACCTACTGAACGAGAAACTCGAACAACAGGTAACCCACCCATCCCCCCCACCCCCCCCACCCACCCCCCTTTTCCCCCATTCTTTCTCTTAAAGGAAGGAAGGATGATTCTTTTGTTTACTCCTGAAATTGAAATATTCAAGAAACAAAGAAATTATTGCAAAAGTTTGATTTCCTTCTTTGCACAGCCATTCAATTTTCATTGGAGAAGGACCATTTTTCATTAATATTCATTTGTGTGTTAAGGTTATGGCTATGACCAGATTCATTACTGTTCATTGTGTGGTTTTATCCTCTGAACATTTTCATTCCCTTTACCTTTATCAAACTCCAACCATCTTGTGTGACATTTCCAAAATATTTATAAATTCTCTCACATAATTAAAATTTTGACTTCTTCAACCTTCGATAACCAAGATCCTTTAAATTTTTGTTTCATTTTCTGAAAATTGATTTTTCACCTTTAACCTATGGATTTTAATCCAACTTTATAAGACTGTATATTAATCAATGGGGCACCGTAGCTGCATTACTCATTTAGCAGTATTAGCTACTGGAAAAAGCAAATCTCCCACTCTGCTGATTTGTAGATTTTGTATATTCTAGATAAAGTTGTACGAATTTTCTCCAATGATATGCCCACAAAATGGTTGGAAAATGATGAGGGCCTTGACCTCTGACTTTATGACCTCTGACCTCCTTCAGTGTGAACAAGAGGGGATGACAATGTTCATGGGTGCCATTAGCACAACTTTTGTCTCTTTTTCACCCCATTAAAGGAAGCACAAACAGACCAGCAAAGTTTATCTCAGAAACTTGCCGAAAAGGAATCCGAAATTTTATCTCTCCAAAATAAACTCACGGAGAGTGCCAAACTGAGGGAAGCCTTAGAGGAGAGGAATCGAGAGGCAGAGGAAATCCGGGCTGAGCTGAGTCAGGTGAAAGAGAGGCTAGCAGCCGGCGGAGATACCCAGACCAAACCGGAGCAAACCGGTGCCGTGAACTCTGACCTTTTGTTGAAGGAAAAAGAGGCGGAGTTAGAAAGGGTCAAGGCGGAGTTTGCTAGCTTCAGAGAAAGTTTGCAGGTATTGCTAGCAGTAGCTGTATTATATGTAGACGTAATTTGCTATAACATTGATAGAAGCATTATCCCCATTATCTGTAGGAAATATGGTCAGGCATTTTAGATCAAAATATTTTATATGTCAACCAAGCTAAGAAAAAAAAAAAAAAGCTTTGTGCTTTGGTATAAGAAGTTTTTTTTAAGAAATTCGTGTGCTAGAAATGTCGCTTATTTAATTTCATCTATAGCTTACAACCAAGTGCTTCTTTTCTCAGTCTTATTAGTCAATTTTAAAAGTAATCTGAAAATCTTTTAATCTTTATGAAGTAGTCAGTAAAATCTTATGTTTATCCAACTCTATTGCCGAGTTATTTTTTTCCAGATGTTAATTTTTAATTTGATGCCTTTTAGTCAGTTTTACACTTAATCTAGATGTTGCCTTAGATAACTTTTACCCCCTTGTATTTCTTATGTATGCTAGCTTTTCTGCTTTTATTATACATAGTTTAGTTATACATGTTTATGTCAGCATGCTTCTTGAGTTGGTGTTTCTACATTGTACTTTCACTTTACATTGTACTTTCACTCTGGTCACAGACAATTTCACCCTCATCATACACCACATTAGTGGCACATGTCTCTCACCAGAAATATCTTAAGGGGTTGTAGGGGGGGGGGGGGGTGACTGTATCAAGTTTAACTAAGATGTGAAAAAAAATTAAACAAAAGTAGATTTACAGGGTTTGGTTTGAAGTTAAAGAAAAAAGTAGGAATCAGAAATTAAAAATTTGACTATTATGAAGATTAGAAATGTTCACATAAAAATCAATCTGAATTACACAAATACAAGATTTAATTGGCGTGTCAAATAAATATGCTTTATTTTCTATGGTAAAAGTTAGCATGACCAAAACATTTTATCTAAGAACCTTTGATGTACTATAATTTACATATAGTAAAATTAATTTTAGACTGTATAAGTATTTCTATTGAATAAATACTCTGTAAGAGGACTTGAACAAAGGAATTTTAGTAGAATAAATTTTAGTGGGGGGTAAATGATACTTTTTAAATCTCAAAGTAACTTATGCAAAATAATGTAAAGGAAGATAAGTTCCCGGGTACAATGTAGAAATGACTCACTCACATAACACGCCTTTTATCTCATAGTCTGCTGCACGAGACATTGAGCTTCAGGAAAATTGTAACGAGATACAGCGTCTCAAACAAGAACTGACGGCCATGCGCGGACTCGTAAAACACGACGCGAAAGACGAGCAGGTCATACAAAGAATGATAGAGATGGAGCGTCTCAAAGAACAACTCGCAGGAATACGAGATCTGGTGAGGGAAGGAAATATCTCGGAAGTTAAGCTGACTAAGGAAGAGGTCGATACGTTGAGAAATAGACTGAAAAGTTTCGACTCTCAAGAGGAGTTGAGTGCGTTTGCGGAGGATTTGATGAAATTAAAACAGAGAATATTTGAGAAAGATTATGAAGAAGAAATGAGAAAGAAAAATGAAGAGATAGAGCAACGAGATACTGAGATTCAGAAATTAAAAGAGGAGCTTGAAGATTTGGATGAAAAAGAGGAAGAGATTCAGAGATTGAGGAGAGATTTGAAAAGTCTCGCAGAAAAAGAGAACGAGATACAGTGGTTGAGAGACGAGTTAGACAGTGTGGATGATCGCGAGAATGAGACGAAGGAGCTAAAGCAGCAAATCGAAGAAAAGGACGACGAAATTCTGGGACTGAAACGAGATATAAAAAGTCTTGCCGATAAAGAGAACCAGATTCAGTGGCTGAAAGAGGAACTGCAGACTTGTGATGAGAAAGGGAGTGAGATAGAGAAGTTAAGGACTGAGATAGAGGAGAAAAATCTCAAGATATGTAACCTGAACAAGGAAATCGTAACTTTGAAGGAAAAAGACAGGGAAATTTTAAAATTGGAAGAAGATTTGAAAATCTTGGAAGAGAGGGAAAATAAAATCCAGAAACTGCAGAGAAATATAAAATATCTTGCAGAAAAGGAACTCGAGAAAGACGCAGAGATTGTGAAACTTTTGGAGGAGGTGAATGAGAAGGATAGACAGATACAGGAACTGCGAGACGATCTTGAAAACTTAGCGGAAAAAGAAGAGGAGATCGAGACATTGCGCACTGAGATACAGAGAATGGTGGAAAACCAGGAATGTTTGGAAGAAGAGAGAATGTCCAACATGGCCAGTCCAAGGTCAAGGCAAAGGACGCCAGAGGTAAACATACCGAGATGGTCAAAGGAGGGCGACCTCTCAGAAGTTTATTTAACGGAATCCACGACCAGCCCACAGCTGGCAAGTATCGAAATGAGGCAAGAGAAAAACAAACAGCGGCTAATGGTTCAGTTCAGCTCAGGGGCAGGGACCCAGTTTAGTTCTGAGGGACCAGTACAATTTACTTCTACAGAAGGGTCGGGACAGTTTAGTTCTGGAAGCATCGATCAGGTTTGGTTTACATACGCAGTCAACTCGGTATAGGATAGAGGTGTTGTGGAAAAGGTTTTTGATTGGTTATTGGAGAGGTGTGTATTTATAATTTAGTTGATTTGACTGGTTAGTGGACAGGTGTGTATTTATATTAGATAATTTGATTGGTTGATGGACACATATAGGTGTGCATATGTATAAGTTGATATGATTGGTTGGTAGATAAATCTTTGATTCGTTGATAGATAGATATGCATATTTATAAGAGAAAAAAAATTGCTGGAAAGCTTGTTCTGAATTTTTTCCTGCATTTTTCAGACCAAGATAATTTGTTGAGAATTCTCACTGACTTATAAATATACAGTATTCAAGTGGCCTTGTACAAGTCAGGGTTCACCATAGAAATGAGGAATTTTATAGAAATCTGTAGGTAATTTGTGATGTAGAAGAATATAGGAACTAATACAATGGATAACCTGCTTTATCATGTTTATAAACATGAAAAGAAATAAAAGATATTTAAAAAATTTATAGCATATATGTACTAACATAGATGTATAGATTCAGGCAGTAGACTTAAAGCTTCAGTTTAATTCTGTGTTCATATCCATCTATACAGCTTCAATAGTAGTAGCTTTGTCTTATAGCAGTAGAAGATCCATTCCTGTAGCTGCAGTATTTGTTTAGCTTTCTTTAGTGGTAGAATTTTCCTCTGTGTAGCACTTTCAGATTTTTTTCTGTTTTCTTATTGGTGTGTTCCCACCTTATCATTTTTTATGTCAGTGCACACGTTCATTTCAAATTTTATATTTTTTTTTGAGTGAGGAATTCAAAAGCACAAATCATTAGTTAAAATTCAAAATGTTTTCTGAGAAAATAACTGAAAGACAAAAATTATTTGATAAAACACATTTGAATTTCTATCTTCTTAGTTTTACTTCTACAAAATTTACAGAAAAATTAGATTTTCATATATTAAGTAAAAAAACATAAAAATTGAAATGTTTTAAAATTTAATTTGACGATTGAGACGACTTTGGAAATTAATTTGAAAATTACTTTAAAAATCAAATATTATAGATATTTATAAGAATTGGAATTTATTTCAGCTCTGTCTTGAAATTAAACTTAAATATCCTTTATTTTTAAAACCAAATTTTGAACTTTTATCCCAGGATTCTCTGAACCAGGAAGTGGAGAATCTGAAGGTCAAGGTCACATCACAGGAAGAGGAACTGGACAACCTTAACGAGGAGCTGACGTACAAAAAGGAGGAGATACGTAGCCTGAGTTCTGACGTGGAGGTGAAGGCGGGTGTGATAACGGAGCTAGAAAACCAGATAGAGGCTTACCAACACAAACAAGATGTAAGTCTGAAACAAGACATTCAGTTTATGATTTTCAAGCTCTTTTTATTTAAAACTATAATCTATGAGACATATTCAGTTAGAGATTTTCAAGCTCTTTTTTATTTTAAAATTATAATATATGATTTATTATGATTTTTGGAACTCAGATATACTCTCCACTAAAGTTTGTCTTCATTCTAGACATTGTGAGGCCTCACCATCACCCCCCCCCCAAAAAAAAAAAAAAAAAAAGAAATTAAAAGTCCTTGCATCATTAAAAAGCATTAAAAGATGTATTGTTGGTTCTGAACAAATGATTTGATTTTTTGTTTTAAAATTTCCAACTGTCTGTCATATTTTAATAGGAACAGTTCCAGAAGTTACGAGCCTTTGAGGTCCAGTTGGAGGAAGTCAAGAAACAGGGGGCGGAGACTGAGGGGGCATGGTCACAACTGACACAGACCCAGGAACAGCTGGAACAGACGATGCAGGAACTGACCACCGCCAACATCAAACTGACCGAGGCCGAGCAGAACCTCAGGGTCGTCAGCTCACAGCTACTGGACAAAGAGAATGAACTACAGGTAATATACACCTTACAGGTAACACACACCTTACAGTAGTCAGGTCACAGCTACTTGACATAGAGAACAACCTACAGGTAATATGTCATAAACATAACAGGTAGCACACACCTTACAGGTAACACATCTGTACATCGTAAATTAAATTTTTCTGCATGCAAGAAATATCCAAAAATTTCATGAGCATCATTTACTTAAAGCATTTCTTAGATTGTTTAATCATGTAAAATGTTTCTTCACTTGCAAAAATTGTAGTCACTGGTTTATTTTTAACTGACAAATCAATCGTTATAGTTTACATTACATTGTACATGCATTTCCCTTAAAGTGAATTATTTTATATATATACTAGATCAAAGACATAGTTCACATGCCTAAGATGATATAACTAGATCATTATAAATAAAGTAATCAAAAAAAATTTAAAATAATGTAAATAAAATTCTATTCAGGCTTTACAAGCAGATTACTGGGAAAAAATGGGGAAAATTACAGAAGAACTACAGCAGGCCAACACAAGGCTTAAACAACAGGAGGAAGAAATCCAAAGACTGCAAAGCCCGAGGCCAAAGTCCGAGGCCAAACAGGAGCTGGATGTGTTACTGAGTGAGAAAGATCACGAACTTCAGGATGTGAAGCAGAGGCTCAGGGAAGCCGTGGAACTGAGTGAACAACAGCTACGTATTGTAGAACAGAAGGACGAGGAATTCATGAAACTGAAACTCGAGATCCAACAGATGATCTCGGAGAAAGACAGGACAATTCGAGATCTGAAGAAGCAACTGACAGCTCAGAGCTCGAGTAGCGAGCTTGAGATATCTCAGCTTCAGCAGGAAGTGGAGAGTAAGAGGGAGACTCTGGACGGGCTGGAGAAGGAGCTGCGACAGTTAAAGGGAATCCAGGATCTGTCGCTAGAAGCCGGCGGTGACGCCTTATCGCTGGTCACGTTACTGAAAAATCAACTCAAGGTGAGATATTACAAATCAGTTTAATGTGAAATATTGAGTAAAACAAATAATTCCTAACCATTCTTGGCTGTAATCGCACTTTCTGAGATGGAGGGCGGGTCACTTGTCTGAAAATGTGAGATATTGAGTAAAAACAGCTCATTCCTATCAATACTTTGCTGCTATGGCATTTTCTTAGATGAGGGGGTCACTTGTCTGAAATTGGGAAATTGATCTTTAATTACTAGACAATAGTTTGTTGGATTGAAAGCCCTGCAATAAAATCTCATGAATATACCAATACAGTCAACTGTAGATATTTTTAAAAATAAATTATAATATTTTTAAAAAAATATATTTTAATATTTTTCTAGGAGAGAGATGACGCAATTAAAGAAATCCATGGAAATCTACAAAAATCTCAGCAGGAATTAAACTCAAAGTCAGAGGAGCTCGAGACAAAATCTCGTGAGCTCAGAGACCTTCATGCCAAGCTGATCAAAGCAACACCAACTTCTCAAGAGAGTTTGTCTGAGGAGGCAGCAAGACAGTTCCATCAGCTGGAGCAGGAATTACGGACGGCAAAAGAAGCCCTCGCAGAAATGCAGCGTCAGGCGGGCGGAGTCAGTAGAGAGAGCAGTGCAGAGGTATTACAATGTGAAATGTGTAATAATGTAATAAAAAAAATGTAATGTTATGATACTGTAATATGCCAACTTGAAGGGAGTGGGCTGTTAGAAGAGAGAGTAGGGCTAGGATATGACAATTTACAATGTAATACTGATATCAGAGCAGTGCTGAGGATTTACAATGTACTAATGTAATCAGAAAAATTGTAATATTATACAATATAGACTTAATTTATAGTTAGTAATTTTAAAGGTGATTCAAAACTATCACCTGACGTATATAAAATATAATCACAGAGGCAGGTATTCAGAGAGGGTAGTCCAGAGTCTGAGGCTGATTTAGAATTAATGGATGTAGATGAACTCCGTTGTCTTGTGCTGGACTTGAGACGTGACCTTGACCTCAGCAGGTCAGAGGTTGAGTTATTCAGGAAGTCTGCTTCCATGTCTGCCAAAGACTTTGTACAGGTTGGTACTTGTTGACATTGCTCTTCAAATTCTTGACATATACTTATATTTTTACTATTTGCTTGTACCTTTGACATTTGATTGTGTCAAAACAGAAAGTGATGGAGCTTCGTGAAGAACTCGGCTCACAACATCAGAGACACATACAGGATCTCACCGAGAGAAACAGACTCGAGTCCGACACCAATCTCGCTCAACTCAGAATCAAATTCGAGGACGAGATCGAGCACATAAAGAAACTCCATCAAAAGGAACTGACTCAGAAGATTGGTGAGACGATGCGAGATCTTGAGAAACAGCACAAGACCGAGATAAACTCTATGCTCGCTCGACACAAGCACGAGATTGAGATGCTGAGAATCAGAGAACCTGTCTTAGGTGAGATCGAGATAAAGTTAGTGTTAAGTAGCATGAAGTATGAGATGATAAAGTTTGTATACAAAAGAAAAAAGAAGTCAATTTATAATAGCTCGATATGAATATGATCATACAAGTTTTGGTTAAGGAACACTGATAATGAGGCATTGTGAAGAAATATTAGATCAATAGGCAAGTTTTACAGAGCTTCAGGCCTTGAACTTTTATTTAAACAATAACTCTGTAATTTTAGATTTCTCATCTGTCATTTCTTTAATAATGATGAATTTAATGAGTAAAGTAGTCAAATGATTGGATTAAAACCATTAAAATTTATATGATGCTTTAATTCCAGCACATATAAGGCAGTGTCTTGTGACGTTTTAACAAAAATGAATAAATCAGGACGTAAGTAATCTCGCCTAATATTTCAGAATCCCATGATGCTTCAGTTTTGAATCTGGCCAATCAGCTGGGTTCTGAGGTTGCCATGACAGAGCGATTGGACAGTCAGTTAATTAGGTCACTGGCACAGCGGCCTGATGGGAAGGATACCACTGAGATGAGTGACGCGACGGAAAGTGAAATCTCCGTGGACGAAAATGTGCCGTCAAGACTGCAGGTAATTAAATTATTGTACAGTATTACAGTGTTTGTTTGACCTGACCTACAAAGAAAAAAAACATGGCCTCCCAGATTGAAATAATATAATACTCATTTATTTATTCAAATAAGATCTTATAATGTAACAGTTTTTGAAATCCAAAGATCCCGTTTTCGTTTGACTCCTCTTTATATGTAAGTTCATTGAAACGAACATTGTGCCCTAGAATCTCTGTATTTAAACAATCCTTGAAGATTTTGATTTTTACCTTAATATGAGTCTATTCCTTCTCCTCGCCTAAATTGACAAAAAAAAAATGGTACTAGGATGTCATTGATAGATTAAGCTAATTAAAATTGAAAATTTTAATAACATTTGTGTCTTTCCTCTTGTTGTTTACTTTTAATTTCCATGTACATCTTGAAAATTAAGAGTATTTCAAACTGACATGATCCAAGTATTTTAATTGGCCAACACTGACATGCCATAATCCTTATTTCGTTTTTTGATTGGACCATCCCCACCTGACCTTTAACCTCTATTAACCTCCACAGGTCCTGATGAACAGACTCCACAAGGAAGGGGTCCAGATGTTATCTATGTCTGAGTTACAGTTCCTGAATCGTCACATGCCGCCGAGTCAGGTAGATCGGGAGGTGGATCTAAGGTCTTTACAGGCGGCATGGGAGAATGAGAAACAAAGCCTGCTATCAGCTGTCCAGTCTCTCAAAGATTTACTGGCTCAGACCCACAAAGTCAGGGGGATTGATAAGGTAACAGTTACTATAGAAACAGAGTCTACTGTTAGCTGTACATACTGACCCAGACCCATAAAGTCAGGGGCATCGACAAGGTAACAGTTACTATAGAAACAGAGTCTACTGTTAGCTGTACATACTGGCTCAGACCCACAAAGTCAGGGGGATTGATAAGGTAACAGTTACTATAGAAACAGAGTCTACTGTTAGCTGTACATACTGGCTCAGACACACAAAGTCAGGGGCATCGGCAATGTAACGGTTACTATAGAAACAGAGTCTACTGTTAGCTGTACATTCCAGCTTAGACCCACAAAGTCAGGGGCATAGACAAGGTAACAGTTACTATAGAAACAGAGTCTACTGTTAGCTGTACATACTGACCCAGACCCACAAAGTCAGGGGCATTGACAAGGTAACAGTTACTATAGAAACAGAGTCTGCTGTTAGCTGTCCAGTCTCTCAAAGATTTACTGGCTCAGACACACTAAGTCAGGGGCATTGATAAGGTAACAGTTACTATAGAAACAGAGTCTGCTGTTAGCTGTACATACTGACCCTGACCCACAAAGTCAGGGGCATTGATAAGGTAACAGTTACTATAGAAACAGAGACTACTGTTAGCTGTACATACTGACCCAGACACACAAAGTCAGGGGCATTGATAAGGTAACAGTTACTATAGAAACAGAGACTACTGTTAGCTGTACATACTGACCCTGACCCACAAAGTCAGGGGCATTGATAAGGTAACAGTTACTATAGAAACAGAGTCTGCTGTTAGCTGTACATACTGGCTCAGACCCACAAAGTCAGGGGGATTGACAAGGTAACAGTTACTATAGAAACAGAGTCTACTGTTAGCTATACATACTGACCAAGACACACTAAGTCAGGGGCATTGACAAGGTAACAGTTACTATAGAAACAGAGACTACTGTTAGCTGAACATACTGACCCAGACCCACAAAGTCAGGGGCATCGGCAATGTAACGGTTACTATAGAAACAGAGTCTACTGTTAGCTGTACATTCCAGCTTAGACCCACAAAGTCAGGGGCATAGACAAGGTAACAGTTACTATAGAAACAGAGTCTACTGTTAGCTGTACATACTGACCCAGACCCACAAAGTCAAGGGCATTGACAAGGTAACAGTTACTATAGAAACAGAGTCTGCTGTTAGCTGTCCAGTCTCTCAAAGATTTACTGGCTCAGACACACTAAGTCAGGGGCATCGGCAAGGTAACAGTTACTATAGAAACAGAGTCTACTGTTAGCTGTACATACTGACCCAGACCCACAAAGTCAGGGGCATTGACAAGGTAACAGTTACTATAGAAACAGAGTCTGCTGTTAGCTGTCCAGTCTCTCAAAGATTTACTGGCTCAGACACACTAAGTCAGGGGCATTGACAAGGTAACAGTTACTATAGAAACAGAGTCTGCTGTTAGCTGTACATACTGGCTCAGACCCACAAAGTCAGGGGGATTGACAAGGTAACAGTTACTATAGAAACAGAGTCTGCTGTTAGCTGTACATACTGGCTCAGACCCACAAAGTCAGGGACATTGACAAGGTAACAGTTACTATAGAAACAGAGTCTACTGTTAGCTGTACATACTGGCCCAGACCCACAAAGTCAGGGGCATTGATAAGGTAACAGTTACTATAGAAACAGAGTCTACTGTTAGCTGACATACTGACCCTGACCCACAAAGTCAGGGGCATTGATAAGGTAACAGTTACTATAGAAACAGAGTCTGCTGTTAGCTGTACATACTGGCTCAGACCCACAAAGTCAGGGACATTGACAAGGTAACAGTTACTATAGAAACAGAGTCTGCTGTTAGCTGTACATACTGACCCTGACCCACAAAGTCAGGGACATTGACAAGGTAACAGTTACTATAGAAACAGAGTCTGCTGTTAGCTGTACATACTGGCTCAGACCCACAAAGTCAGGGGGATTGACAAGGTAACAGTTACTATAGAAACAGAGTCTGCTGTTAGCTGTACATACTGGCTCAGACCCACAAAGTCAGGGACATTGACAAGGTAACAGTTACTATAGAAACAGAGTCTACTGTTAGCTGTACATACTGACCCTGACCCACAAAGTCAGGGACATTGACAAGGTAACAGTTACTATAGAAACAGAGTCTGCTGTTAGCTGTACATACTGGCTCAGACCCACAAAGTCAGGGGGATTGACAAGGTAACAGTTACTATAGAAACAGAGTCTGCTGTTAGCTGTACATACTGGCTCAGACCCACAAAGTCAGGGGCATTGACAAGGTAACAGTTACTATAGAAACAGAGTCTACTGTTAGCTGTACATACTGACCCTGACCCACAAAGTCAGGGGCATTGATAAGGTAACAGTTACTATAGAAACAGAGTCTGCTGTTAGCTGTACATACTGACCCTGACCCACAAAGTCAGGGGCATTGATAAGGTAACAGTTACTATAGAAACAGAGTCTGCTGTTAGCTGTACATACTGGCTCAGACCCACAAAGTCAGGGGCATTGATAAGGTAACAGTTACTATAGAAACAGAGTCTGCTGTTAGCTATACATACTGACCAAGACACACTAAGTCAGGGGCATTGACAAGGTAACAGTTACTATAGAAACAGAGTCTATTGTTAGCTGTACATACTGGCTCAGACACATAAAGTCAGGGGCATTGACAAGGTAACAGTTACTATAGAAACATAGTCTACTGTTAGCTGGCTTAGACCCATAAAGTCAGGGGCATTGATAAGGTAACAGTTACTATAGAAACATAGTCTACTGTTAGCTGGCTTAGACCCATAAAGTCAGGGGCATTGATAAGGTAACAGTTACTATAGAAACAGAGTCTACTGTTAGCTGTACATACTGGCTCAGACCCACAAAGTCAGGGGGATTGACAAGGTAACAGTTACTATAGAAACAGAGACTACTGCTCTATATAAACTTACTGAGTCAGACTCAAACGCAGAAAAGCCGGGATTTGACAAATAGTGTAAAGAAGATGAAAGTATAACCAAAGGGAAATAATTATGTAAAAAGGAGATAATTACATAAAAACATGTAAGTAAACGGAAAAAATATGAATTGATTAGACCTTATGTATTATAGTATATTTTACAGACTGGTTACTGTAAATGTAAAATAATTTAAAATATACCGGGAAGGAATCAAATCACCAGGAGGAAAAATTCAGATAATTAAATCAGATAAATGATAATTAATTACATCTTTTAGGAATGCTGGGTGGATTTCAGTGATAATATTTGTGTAAGTTGACTGAATGTTAATTGTCAGCTTTACCCATGCAGCATTGAATTGTTAACTGCTTCAGTTAGCCTTGTTTTAATGTTATTCATCAACATTGTAGTATTTTCTGTTATTAATATTGAAAAATTTTTGCCTTTGTATATGAATTAATGACTTTAAAGATTTTAAAATGGAATTGATTCCAGTTTTTTTTTTACTATTTGATTAACTCTGTTTGAGTGTTGTTTTCTCCTTTGTTGTGGTGATGTAAGAGACTGAGGGTGGTCAATATTACAGGAAGCCTTTAACTTCTCCATCTTCCAGAATTTATACCAGTGTTGTGTTTTTGTTAAAACTAAATCAACAAATTAAAGGACTCCCTCTATTTATTGAACATAATATTTTTTTTCTCTTGTCAATTTTAGATTTGCAAAAATTATCGTGAAGCATGGATCTGAAATAAAACTCAAGATATCAACAATTTCTGAGTTAAGATCTCCATAGGTTATGTTTTTGTCGTTGTTTCTGTGTATTTTGACTGTTCTGTACTTTAGGCTGCGGATGTCTCAGATTGGAGAGGTGAACTGTTACGCTCCATTGGTTACGTTTTTGCTAAAGAGCGGGAGACATTACTGGCTGAGCTGAGGTCACATGTCCTCTCACATCCAAACATCGACCTGACCGAGATTCAGAAACTAGAGCAGAAGATCAGGAACCAGGTATGGAGAGGCTCAAAATAATTATAGAGGAAATAGATAATGTAAACTTAAACTCATGGACCTGAATAGCAAACACTTTTGTCCTTATAACTTATAGTATCCAAAGAAGTCACTATTCTTGAATCATCTAATTTGTGGGTGAACATTTTTGTTGATTTCATATGTTGCAATTAATAACCATCAATTTGCATCTCTAGATTGGCAAACAAACACTTTTTCAACTTATCAGTTTTAACAATCTTCCTTTTATATGAGATTTCAAAAAAAATAAAACCTCATTAATAAGTCAAATAGAAAACTTAAACCAGTCAAATAGAAAACATGATTCAGTCAAATAGAAAACATGAATCAGTCAAATAGAAAACATGAATCAGTCAAATAGAAAACATGAATCAGTCAAATAAAGATTAAGGATTGATCGTTTAATTCTTATAACAGGAGGCCCATCAGAAGTCGTCTCTGGAGCAGATATTCAGCGCTGATCGCCAGTCACTCCTGGCGGAGATTCGAGATCTCCGAGCCCACGCTAACATCAGCGTAATGAGACATCAGGAGGAGAAAGAACGACTGACGGAACAGCTCAACAACGTGGAGGATCAAACCTCAAAACGGGAGCGGCAACTCAAAAGACAAGGTAAGGTTAGGTAAAGTCCAGGGCAAGATTAGCCCAGGGCAGTATTAGGTTCAAAGTCCAGGGCAGGATTATACCAGGGCAGATTTAGGTTCTAAGGGCAGAATTAGCCCATTTCAGCAACATTGTTTCTCCAAATAAGATCTAGAGATTGAAACCCAATTAATGTAATCAAATAATCAAATTAATCAAATTTAAGGTTGGAGAACAAATTAATTCTCTTGAAGATATTAAAAAAAACCTTTGGTGTTAGTCATAACTGGAAAGTTTAATGTCTTTGCCATTTCTAGATCACAGTGATGCCATACTTGGTAAGAATTTAGCACTGGTCTTTAATTAAATTTCAGTTTAGTTGATAATTAATTAAGGTTTTTGTATGTATTTATGCTTAAATGTCTTCTATCACCGTTTTTCTATGATTCCAGGATTTTGGTAGTTTCGATTTTTAGTATACTTTTTTTATAACGATTCCAATTATCTCATTTCTGTAGTTACTACTAAACCTAAATCTTTACTCAATGTCATAGTCCTGAAGTTTTTATTTCATTAAAAAATTTTCATAATTCTAATTTTAGGAATTCTGAAAGATGCATTGCTTCACTATAAAAATGAAATAATACCGGATAATACCTGCACCTTTTAATTTTCAAGTATATTCATAATATTTATTACTGGGCCACGCTGTATAATTTTTATCGTTTTTGGAGTACAGTGCAATTATTGGATTATAAACTCCTGTCCAATAGTAACCACACTGCTCAACGCGTTATCGGCAACTCGGTTGTTATCGGATACTCGGTGCAGGAAAAACAATGCATAGAAAACGTAGGAGATTTTAAATTTCTTCATTCAATGATAATTGTGTACTTCTGCAAACAAAGTTTGTGATCTTTGGTAGATAAATGATAATACTTTCAGCGGTAAAAAGCACGATCCAAATTACTTTCTTTCAAGAGATCTACAGGTCTTTAAAATGAAATTTAATTTAAAAAAATTTATATGTCAACATATTTTAGCCTTTGTAGAGGCCAGAATCAATTTATTTTATTAAACAAAGTGATTTATTAACTATATGGACAATCATAAACCTTTAGATAAGCAGACATATATCAAAATTCAAATTATGGTTTATTTTACGGGCATTTAAAATGCTTCGTTGGGCAAAAACATGTTATCGGCAACACGGTTGAAGTTGCCGGATAATTCGGTTTTTCACGGGTGCAAGTTATCGGAAACCTAGGTTAATATTAAGATATATTATCTTTAATTTATCATAACAATAACTTAAGTCTTCTGACATATTACGTTTTTTTTTTTAAATTCAAGTTCCCCCATGATTCCCGGAATCACGTCACATTTACAAATACATGTATAGCAGTTGTGGCTTAAGTGGGGGGTGCCCCGTATACGAAACAAGTGCCTGTGATTGCGACGTTAGCACTTTTGTTGCTCCGCAAAAGAACGTTAACATAATTTTTAGAAACTTTAAATAGAATCACCTAGTAAGTGAATAGGACTTTTTAAATACTTGATCATGTGATCTAGCTTGTGTTAATCATGTGATCTAGCTTTTATCAATCAGATAGCTGTCAACAATAAAGAAAGATAATTCTTCATTCTTTTTATACAATGTTAATTGGATATGTAGAGGATTAAGGAGACTATCCTTTAACGAAAAGCATGGTCCAAAAATAAATAGATAAATAAAAATAAGAGAGCCGACTGGGATTTTATTGTGCAAAAAACACAATAGAGAAAACACTTTAATAAAAATAAAACTTAACTGATTTCCTAACCTTGAAAATTACCTATTAAGGAGGAGGGGTGCTGGTTGATTCACTTCAGTTCCTCATATGTTTAATTTTTATTACAAACAGTGATTTGCGTTTTCAATTACAATGGGGGGAGGGTCCAGAGATTTTTTGCTTCAGTATAAACATCCAATAGCAATGCAAAATCCAAGTGACCCCCCCCCCCCCGATTTATCTGAGCATGAACTCTACACATTGCATATGGCCAATAATAACGAAGAGCACAGTGCTGAATGTAACCGTTTATCAGGGGGTTCTTATTCCTTCTTGGTACTCTAAACAACCTCCGCTGTCTTTGGAGATCCGTGTTTAGGATTTTGTAATTTTATGTCAATCTCTTTTCTCCTCAAAAGTTTGAATTCTGTCATATAATTTGGTCTAACGCCCTATTTGAAAATACTTTTAACTACCCTTGAGTTTAAATTCTTTAATTCCTTTACACTAAACTTATAAACGTATTCGTATGTTGGAAAAGTTGTGAATTTGAATATCGGTGTCGCCTGACCTAAGTCGATTAAAAAATGGCTGGCATCTGTTCGTTTGCAATACGCTCATCACCTTGATTGGCTGTATGTTCTTTAACGCCCTCTTGAGAATTTTCAAGTCATATGGAGACACCATCACTTGCCGGCGGAGAGCTACAAAACTTGTCCTATACTCGGCACTCAGGGCAATTGAGCAGTGAGGAATCTTTTTTGTGCTAGCACTACTGCGGCGTCCCATTTTGGGATACAAATCCGCGACGTAAGGATCGACTCCTTACTAGACGACCCTAGAGCAGACACTCTAACAACGGGCGACCTCGGTACCTTGAAAGAAATTTAAAACTAATACCATATTTTCGAACAGATCAAGATCATACAGACTTCAGTGAGAAATGCCAGAAAAAAACCATTTTTTAAAAGTTACATATTCTTAAAAAAGGCAAATAATAACACCAAAACTTAAAATTGTGTGCTAGCCACTTTAAATATTTAGAATTTATGCGGATTTCTGTCGTTTCTTTACATTTTTCCAAATCTATCTCAACCTTTGTTTCGTATAACCAAAACCGAAGTTTCCGATAACCAAAACCGAAATTTCCGATAACAAAGTGAATTATTCAACCGTATTTCCGATAACATACTGAAAGTTAAAATTGAGCAATTTTTGTCCTTTAATAACATATTTGCAAGATTCTGACGAAGTCTTCTTGTGGAAAATCATTAACGCTAGGTAATTATAAGGATTTTGAAGAAAAAAGCTATTTACAGCAATGTCAATTAGAGAAAAACTTGCAAAATATAACAAATTTGACTTTTACAGCCTTCCCAAGGCTAACAAATGCTATTCTAATACGTATCGAGGCTTTATTTTGTATCCATATTTATTTCTGTTTCCAAAAATCACAATGAACATTCTCTGTTTCTATTTTAACAGAGTTTACTTGAAATAATTTACTAACCTGTAAAAAATTGTAATCAACCGAGTGTCCGATAACAACCGAGTTGCCGATAACGCGTTGAGCAGTGTGGTAACTCCCATGATGTATAATTTATTCTGTTTTGATTTACAGTGCAGTTATTGGAGTATAAACTCCAGCAGGAGAAGATAATCCAGGACGACCTGAGGACGAGTTTAGAGGTTGAGCGTGACCGCTCCAGTGACCTCTCGACCCAGCTGAGTCGCGAGAAGAACGGTAACCTTGACCTTCAGACTGACCTGTCCAATCAACAGATCCAGATCTCCAAATTAAAGGATGCACTGGAACGAGAGCAGAGCCGATTTATATCTGTCACGTAAGTATAATATGGCTAATGTCTAACTATACAAATGATTTCTTATGTGTATTATATACAGCTGGTGTCCAGCTTATATCTCTTCGGAGGGCAGGGGAGGGGGGGGGGAAGGGGGGTACAAAGGAAGAATGGTGTAAAAAGGGGGAGAGAGTTTACAGTTAGGAGAAGGGAGGTATATAATGTGGAAAAGGGGGAGGGTGTTAAAGAAGACGTGTAAAGAGAATTTGTTAAAGGGGAGGGTGTTAAAGAAGACGTGTAAAGAGAATTTGTTAAAGATCTCTAAGTACATTCTGAAAGGTAGATTTTTAAAGAGGGCTGGGAGGGGGTAGAGGGTGTTGAGGCCATTTTCAGAGTGTTTTGATCGGATAGTTAGATATGTTTTTGAAGAATTGAAGTGATGGGAAGGTTAAAAGAGGGGAAATGTGTAAACTGAGGGTTACGTAAAGAACTGCTTTATTAATTGAATATTGCAGCCCATGATATTTTTGCTTTCTCTGCCTTTTCAATACCATTACACTGAGACTGTCTTCCAGACAGCTCTGAGAATTGAAAACACCAATTGTAACTTTACTAATTTATTGAGAAACAAGATCATAATAATACAACACACACAATGTTGGATGAAAATGGCCGCAAATTTTGTAGGAGTCAAGGGAGACAACTAGGATACCATAAACAAACGGGCAAACTAGTGGCCTCGCTTAGATGCGAGTGCCATGGAACCCCATGCCTGACACACGCATGATGGCTAGGCACACAAGCTGCACAGCTTTTACACCCTGCCTCTGGCTTGCTACCTGGTTTAGAATTTTAACACCAACCAGCCTGTAGCCTCTCCTACTTTTATATAGGTAGAGGGGGTCTGAGCACTGAAATGCTGCAGATCCCAAGCAATTTACATTTATTTACACATTTCCTCAATGGCATTTAACTTCCATGTTAAAACACAGCCATGATACCCCCCTCATGCTTTGATGCAGATGGGCAGAGACAAACAGGTTAAGCGTGTACTCTATATTTATATACATTTTTTTTTTTTTTTTTTTTTTTTAAATTGGGAGTGGTGGGTGGGTAACTTTTACTAATGACCAAATGGCTGAGATGTTAAAGAGGAAGAGGAAGTTGCTATAATAGTTAACTCATCCTGATGCTGACTTTCCCATGAACTAGATAACTTGTACCAAGTTGTGTCTTATGTTCAATGCTATCCAAACAATTAAATGAGATTATCTCATATTCATTTCAATAATCTATATTAATTGAATATTGCAGCCCATGATATTTTTGCTTTCTCTGCCTTTTCAATACCATTACACTGAGACTGTCTTCCAGACAGCTCTGAGAATTGAAAACACCAATTGTAACTTTACTAATTTATTGAGAAACAAGATCATAATAATACAACACACACAATGTTGGATGAAAATGGCCGCAAACTTTGTAGGAGTCAAGGGAGACAACTAGGATACCATAAACAAACGGGCAAACTAGTGGCCTCGCTTAGATGCGAGTGCCATGGAACCCCATGCCTGACACACGCATGATGGCTAGGCACACAAGCTGCACAGCTTTTACACCCTGCCTCTGGCTTGCTACCTGGTTTAGAATTTTAACACCAACCAGCCTGTAGCCTCTCCTACTTTTATATAGGTAGAGGGGGTCTGAGCACTGAAATGCTGCAGATCCCAAGCAATTTACATTTATTCTACACATTTCCTCAATGGCATTTAACTTCCATGTTAAAACACAGCCATGATACCCCCCTCATGCTTTGATGCAGATGGGCAGAGACAAACAGGTTAAGCGTGTACAAGGCTGATGTCTCCCTTGACCCCGCCACTAACATCGATATGATGTTCCCCACAACAATTTGCACCAAAATTAATATTTATATATATAGCAATCCTAAACTAGGAAATTACAGGTCATCGCAACTGAAATCTGACTAAATAAACAAAGGGCATTACTGAGGAGGGAAAATTTTGCCCTTTCCCCCTAAAATGAATTCCAAACCACCCTGAATATTATTTAAATAAGCCTTATTCCCCCTTTCCGATAAATGAGTTCCATCATATCTAAATAAACTGCTTTGATGAACGTTGATATTTTTGTCATGAAAAATGCAAGCCCCATTAACTTCTGATGTAATGAATTTTCTAATGGCTTTATTCACCTTACGCCGTTTTAAATCAATCTTAGCCCCACCCTTGCCAAGAGGTGCACCATGCCAATAAAGGCGGGGAAGCATTGTTGACCAAATAAGCAAAGTCTTAGGAAGCAATACATTATAACGATACAAACTACATTGAATTTCATGTGAAAATCTAAGTGCAGTATTGCCAGCTGTAGTTAGATCATTTGACCCTGCGTGAATGACTAGTACATCTGGATGTGGTTGGTGTTTGAGTTCATCTGTTAACACTTTGTCAAGATCTTCCCATTTCAGCCCTCTAATTCCCTTCCAAGTGATGTCCATCCCAAGATTAAGATTCTTTCCACCCGGTCTCCTCCCTGCCTCCTCACCAGCCCAATAAGGTATTGAAGATCCCACTATCCAAATCGTCTTGAAACCTGGAATACTTTGGCAAAATTAGCCTGTATTCCATTTAACAATGCTAACATGTTATAATCTTATGTAGTTTCTGAATTATTTGAGGCAAAACAGAAGGGTTTTTTTTCTATATGTATTTACTAAAACATGTAATTTTAAATCTATGCATAAAATCATGAATATCTATATATCATGTGATAAGTTATGTAATAAGTTATTAACTTTGTCTTGAAACAGAACTTTATGGAATGATTTGTTGTAAGTTTATATGATCCTTGTCATACGGATGCTTGTGATCCTTGTTATACGGATGCTTGCTTTTATTTTCATTTCCATGTACATGATGTAATTTACCAATCAAATAAGACATTGGCAATTTAGTTTGTATCACAGATAGACACTAAATTAAATTTAGGAGCTGGGGAAAAAGCAACAGAAATAATTCAGCTTTGAATTACATGTAGCACAAAGTTAGTCACTTGGCTTAGAGTGGAAAAGCATTGAATCTGCTTTAATATTGGGGGGAAAAATGCTGACTTTGTGTGTGATTAGGTTGCTTTAGTGTTTTCAATCTATAGCCATTGTTTGATGTCATTTTCAGAATTTCTTTAAGGTGACAGTGTTGATTTTTGTGAAAATTTCACAGTTGCACTGCAACACAGGCATAAATTTCATTCACGTGAATTGTCACTTTTCTAATCTATTCATGAGATCATTAAAATTATTTTTTTTAATTTCAATCACTCAGTGAGTTTGCTACGTAGTTTAATTACTAAAATAAGAGTTTGAAAAGGAAATCTTTTTTTTTAAATACTTGTAAAAAATCATTTTGCATAGATGGGATCATTCAGTAGAATTAAATTATTTAATTCTGAATTTAATTAACAACTGATTGTAGAATTTTAAGAACAGCATTATCGGACTAATGAGACTTGTTTAATACCTCAGATTTTATTCCATTGAAAATATTTCACATCTTTCATCATTACTTATTCTCTAAACAAAAAAGTTTATTTATTTTTAAAAATGAAGTCACTTTTTTGTGTGTTTGTCATTTTCACAAAATAAATAACCTATATCAAAAATGTTTTTATAAACACTTTTCATGAGGTAATAGTGGTTGTTTGACACTTCGAATTAGTGTTGTCACGATGATCGATTTATAATCGATGAGGTAAGGCTGTGTGACAATCGATTGGAGATTTTAACAATCGATTAATCGGTATATTATCTTTTTTTAATAGTTTTCTCACTTTTATTTCAAGAACAGGCTCTTGTTATCAAAATATATATCTTCCAAGTGTTGTCATTTACTACCTATTTTAAAATACATGGACTTAAAATCTGTTTAAAATTAATCATAAGATAATGATATTTGTATATCTAAACTGAAGAAACTAAATTAATTATATTAATGAAATATATTAGTTTCTGTATTTGGGGGAATTCACTTTTCATTTCATGCGTAATCACAAGGATTTGCAATATTAAATGTCGTATAACAGTTAAAAAAATTATTTGCATATATATTTTAGATGGTCATTTAAATTAAAACCTGATCTGTCAATGCTTATGTTTCCCAGGCCAAGTAATTCCTAATCATGCAAAAATCTGTATTACTGAAATTGTTAATCAAACTGCATATATACTGTTTTTAGAATTTCGATCTGTACAATGCACCTTTACTTACATTATTTAAAAATAAAATTCTAAATCTTATATGGTTTTTCAAAAGGTTAAATTGATGATCAGTTGGTAAGGGTTAACCAAACCGATTAATCGATTCTGAAAATGACAACACTATATCATAATTTTGTTTACATTTGCACAGTTAACTCTCTGTCATCAAGACAGGATACACTCAAGAAATTATTTATAGTCAAAAAAGTTACTTAATGTCTGGGAATTTAAAGTTTTTTATAAATTGAAGAGATATAAGGTCTTAATATGACGTTATAAACAGTTTCTATTATTACAGATTTACCAGTAGATATTCAGACAGATCATAAAGTATCAATAAAAATTATGAGAAAAATCAACTAGTAGAGAGTACACATGTATTTAATGAGAAAATAATAATAAAAATATGGGGGAAAATCACCATTGTGATCATTTCCAAAGGAAATATGGGCTTTAACAATGCTCAAGTTTTGCAATAAATGCCTATGTCATACAAAACATAAATAATGTAGAGATTTTAATTTTCTTCTCTCTCCAATTCCCAATTATAATCAGCTCTCTTTTGCAGGGGTGCTCTGGAAGAAGAGAAATCGAAGAGCCAGCATCTCAGTGAACTACTGGAGCGTGAACGAGCCTCGCTGAGACAGATGAGGTCAAAGGTCGAGGAGGTCAAACTAGAGTCGGACAGCAAGGAGAGACAGGAGCATTTACTTGAGGTGAGGGAAAGTTTAAGGTGCACCAACCCACTTGATAAGAGGCATAACTCTTACTGGAATTAATTGCAGTTACTTTTATTCACTCAAAAAAATCCCATTTACTGGAGGTGAGGGAAAGTTTAAGGTGCACTGACACACTTATTAAGAGAGATAACTCTTACTGGAATTTATTTTCTAAAAAAAAAACAGAGACGTGTTTGAACATTTACTTGTTTTGTATGTTGTTTAATGGATGTTGAGAATGGATAACTCTTACTGGAATGAATTGCAGTTACTTTTATTCACTCAAAAACATCTCATTTACTGGAGGTGAGGGAAAGTTTAAGGTGCACTGACCCACTTGAAAGGAGGGGATAACTCTTGCCGAAATTTACTCTCTCTCAAAAATCATTCAGTTAAAAGAAGGAAATTTCTTTTTAATCAAATTATGGCATGTAACCAAAGTATATTTATGATGACATCTGATTGTAGAAATTTCTATTATTATATTGTTTTGGAAAATGGTCATAATTCAAGAGCACACTTTTTAAACATTTTTTAAACATTCTTTTAATCAAACTGAGGAAGGGGGAATGACTCTGAGAAAGACAAGAGATAAGTAAGTTTACAGAAGCATTAAAAACCTGCCTTAATTAATACAGATCTTTGAAGATATTCTTATCTGTGGGGAGATTGGAAGATAGTTATACAAGATCAGTAGATTATAATCTCTTATGTACCGTGGTTATCAATCTGGTGTAAAGGTTTGTCTTAGATGAGTGATAAAGAAAAAAATTAAACCTGTATAACAGAAAGAAACTTACACAAACATGAAAAATTAAATGTTGAAATTTACAGAACCATTAAAAATGTAGCAGTGTTAAAATAAGGAAGGGGGGGGGGGGGTCATTTTTTTAAGGTTTCTGAAATTCTTAATTTTCAACCTACCTTTATCTCCATCCCCTTCCACCCAAAACAGCCTTACACTTTGAAAAAAAAAAAAATTTCCACAAGCAGATTTTGAGAAAGAAGAAAATTTGATGATTCATCAAATATTTACGTCTATAAGTGTGTCACTAGAGATATGTATATCAGATCATAAATCTTTGAAATATGTATTTTCTCCATTGTGAATAAGACTTTTCAGTAGTTTAATATATAAAATTTTGAATTTTAATTTGTATGGGAAGGATTTGAGGTTTTGTCCATGGAATTATAACACTGTTTTAATCTGATTAAAATTAGACCAAGTCAATAGTGATTTTTAATGAAGGTAAAAAAAAATCTGATCTTGCATTAAATGAACACATTAAAATGTTCATTGCAAAAATAACATTGTTTTTCTGGGTATATTTAACTTGTCTTTTAACAGTAGTAAATTTAAATTAAAAATACTTATGTCTGAAACATTGGTGAATATATACAATTACATATAAATGGTTTTAAAATTTGTCAAGCAACAATGGTTCCACTTAAAACAATGGAGCTTCAAGTTTAGAATCAACCAGATTAAAGCCTTTAAACAATAACAGGAACTCCAGTACAATGTTCTCAAGAAACTTAATCTCTTTTCTTTCCTCATTTAATTTTGCTTAAATGCACCTTGTGACATGATCAGGGAACTCCAGTGTATGAATTTGAAATATTGGAAATATGTACAAGGATTTGCTCGAGTTATCTCGGGAAATTCATAACTCCGTATTGGTAAATATATCTCAATTAATTTGAATACTGTGTAATTTTCTTTAAGAATTGCTCAATCATTACTACAAATTCATTGAGTGTAGATATTTTTTTATGTTAAAATTAATTGCAGTTAGTCGGATTAAGTCAGAATGGAAGCTAAGATTCTAAATTTGAATGTTTAAATATTCCAGTGTGTTAATTATTTTAGGTCATGTTATTCCCTGAGTGTTAACTGTAGGGATAGCATGTGTATTTTAGTTGTATGCATACAATTATTAATTGTAATATTTACAAGACAGGAGAAATTATTAACCCAATACCATTATTACGTCTGGGTCTTCATTTGAGAAGTGAGATTTCCTCCCATTTTATGGTAGAACATTGGTAGCTTAAGATGCATTGCACTAAAGTCTTTCTGTCTGTTTGCTCTTTATTTGAATCAAACATTCCCATTGGTGTAAAGCAACACCTATTTTATTGGCTGCAAAAAGAAACACATAGGTGGGATCCATTATATCTCCCACTGATCTGAAATATGTAGTGTGTATGTATACAACTGAATACCGATAACTGAGTAAACTGTCATTGTCTTTATGATATCAATTGTTGCTAAACACAAAATAAATGATTAGAATAACTCAGTGATAAAAACTAAGACAATTGTTAACAAGAATACCTGCACTTTATTGGGAGATGAAAAAGAAAAACATGTACATGTATAATTTCTCCTAAATCTACATGACTTTGTACTAGTGAGGTACACATGGTTCCCTTCATTGTCATATACCTCTTAGAGTATTATATTTTATTAGAATGAGATAGAACACTGAGGATTTTGAGACAAATCTCACTACTATCAATAAAGAACTCTAACCTTTGACCTTTCAGAGACTTCAGAGTGAGTTAAACTCGGAGCGAGATCGTAGACTTCAGGCGGAGAATGGGGCGGAGCTGGAGAAAGTGGCCCTGGCCAATCTACAGCAGGAACTCGATCTCGAGAGAAAGAACCTCAGGTCGACCGAGTCCGAGTACAAGGCCCGAGTCAAACAGCTCACGACGGCCGTGGAGCTAGAGAGGGCCAAGTCTAATGATCTGCAAGGGTCAGGGAGATAAATGAGATATTGACTCAGAGATTATATAAATTTTATTTAAAATGGTCATTCTTTATCATATGAATGCAGTATTTTATGTTCAACAAACTATATTTAATGAAAGAACACAATAAATTCTTCTGCAAGGGTGAGGGAGTTCATATTGGATGAGATATTATTTTATCTAAATATTATGTTTAACAATGCAGACAATTGAAGCAAAATTTATTTATTTATTAATAGGAAAAGAATCTTAAACATTAATCAAAGAAACATAATGCAGAAAGGATTTAGGAGGGGCGGACACTCAAATTATGTTAAAGTTTGATTTTTCAGATCATATAAACAGGTGGTGTTTCACTGATTTACATGAATAAGGAAGAAATTGTTTTCTTCTTAATAAAATTACTTTTTTCTTGACTGAATTCTTCCTCTTGTGTATTTTGTAGGGCCTTGGAAAGGGAGCGAGCTGTCAATGACAAACTTAGAGAAAATCTCGACAGTGAGCGCCGCTCGCTGCTAGAAAGTACCGACAGGGAAAACTCAATCTTCGAGGACATGCAGCTGGAACTGGACTCGGAACGTGCCAAAGTGAATGATCTCAAAAACTTGGTGGAAAGAGAGAAACAGAGACTGCAATCTCAGGTTACGATGTTAGAATCTCAGTCGAGTGCACTCAAAGAGGAGCTAGAGCAGGAAAGGCTGGCATGTCGGCAGATGAAGAATGAGATTGACCAGATACAAGTGAGTGTGAAAATCTTATTTACTTTGTGTTTAAAATGTCCTTAATGATGGAAAAATCAAATTAAAAAAGAAGATTGGGGGATAAGGTGGATGAAGTGCCTATAGTGGGACAGACATGAAGTGAAAAATTAAATCTCAATTATATCTAATACTCAATTCACATATTCAATATGGTTTCTTAATATCTAACGCTATACGCATTCTGCCCGCCTTGTTCCCCCATCTTCTTTCAGTACAATAATGCTACAGTCTTATCAGAGACTTCTACTAAGATATTGTTTAAGAGTAAATATCTTCATATTTATTGATGGTATTTCTTTAACAGCTTCAGAAGTTGGACATTACACGTCATTATGAACATGAACGGGACCAAGTGTCGCGTCTGAAGTCTGAACGTGAACATCTGAGGTCAGAGGTCAAATCACTGAAAGACTTGATAAACGAGAAGGAGAGGACTCGGGACTCAGAGAAAGTGACCGAGCGCCGCTCACAAAGACAGCTGGAGAGGGAGAGAGACGACCAGAAAATGAAAATGGTGAGTACATTTAATTTATAATGATTTACTAGTAGACAGTAGCGTGAGCCCCTCATTGTTATATCAAAGTAATCAAAGTGTGAAATACTATTCAAAGAAAATTTATATTCAGAAAGGAAAGCAGAAGGAGTATTAAATATACCATGTCCTAACATTGAGCTAATTTAATGCTAGACAATGTGAAGGATTGAGATCCTGAGCGAGAATGAGCAAGGAGGTTGAACATTTGAAAAGCTATTTACAAAATAGAGACTAGTATATGTGGGTCATGGTTTACATGAGGTCAACACAGACCTAACTTATTACACTGTTACAGTAATATTTAATAATAAAAAGAACTTGATAACCTTACAGCATGAGAACGAGTTAGAAATCCAGAGACTGACTCAGAGAGTGTTGGACATGGAGGACCAAATCACGGCAAGTCGGGAGCGAGAGATGGAGGCCGTGCGCGAACTGCAGCAGGAAAAGCTACGCACGTCTCAACATCACGCAGACTCCGAGGGCAGCGAGGAAGATCAGGATCACTGGAGCGTTTATAAGACTCAGCTGGAGAGTATTTGTCAGAGTCTACAGTATCTGATATTACAATATCAGGACCAGCTTTCCTCAGGGTAAGAATTCCAAAACTTCTCTTAATGTAATATCCACTTAATATAATAACCACTTTAGTTAATATCCTCGTAATGTTGTGTTTATTACAATATTTGCCATGGCCTGTAGTATGTGATATTACAATATCAGCACCAGCTTTCCTCTATGTAGGAAATCACAAAGTCTCTTAATGTAATGTCTGTTATGAAATCCGTTGGATTATATGTTAATTATCAATCACAGATTTTCTACAATATCAGCATCACCTCTGTTAAGGTTAAGCACTTCCACCACTTTTAAAATGTCTACATGTGCATTTGATCAAGATTAAACCATTTTGAAAAGATTTGTTATGATTTAAAAGGAATATAAAAGTTTATTTTCCATTACAGTTTCTTGTAAATAACACACGTCAAATAAAATTTTGGGAAAAATAAGTGATCATTAAATTTTTCAGCATTCAAGGTGCAGTGAATGTTCATGGATTAGAAAGATCACTGAAGGACTTACTGGGTGAGCTCAAACAAACTCAGATGCCACTCGCTTTTGAATCTGACAACACAGACAATCTCATGAGTCGCCCAAGTGCTCAGGCTGTGAATGAGCGAGTGCTACATCACAATTCTGAATTAACAAACTTTGTGACAAGACTTACAGAAGAAAAAATGGAGCTACGCAACACTCTGGGAAGACTTGAGGAGGAAATTTGGAGATACAGGCAGAGGGGTTCCGAACATCAGGTGAGTAAATCTGGAGATGCATGCAGAGGTGTTCCGAACATCCTATAACTGTATATTTTCCCATTTGTTCCAAAATTAAAGAAATATTCTAGATCCTGTAAGGTTGAAGAATTTTTCTATCACTTTTGGATTAAATACCTTAAATACAAAGTAAAATTTTAATATGAATATATTATTCAGAAATATTGATAAGAATTCCAAATAATTTAAGTAAAAAGCTTTCTGCATGATATTTTTATTGGTAAAAGCACATTAAAATAGATACAAAGTGAGATTTTGATATGAATGAATTACTCATAAATATTGATAAGAATTGCAAATAATTGAACTTGAAAGCTTTTTGCATGATATTTAATTGGAAAAAGCATATTAAAAAGATGATTACAATTGCAGTTTTACCCCATGAAATTCTCAATATTTCAAGTCTTAAATTAATTTTCAATTTTGTGCAGAACGGCCACGACGTCAGTGAGAGCCACCATGATCAGGAAAATCGTCACTTGGAGGCACGCGCTGGGTGGGCCAAGGAGCGTCTGTCTCTACAGCTGTCACTGAATCAGATGGAGCGGGAACTAGATAAATGTCGGGCGGATCTAAGGGGGATAGGGACAGGGTAAATAATTAGGATATTAATCATGACTGGACAAAGCACCGAGGGAGATAGAGACAGGGTAAATAAAATTACGAATTAACAATATATTTTAATTATGAGGTCAGCTGATTTTATGTAAACACTAAGGTTTATTATTGTATACTATTAGGAGTATTGTGGTGAAATGTCAAGCTTCTTTGTTTTAATCTTGTTTTGGTGTACATTTTAAATCTTATCTTTTTGCAGCAAGTCTTGCCCTTTTCTCAGATTTTGATGACACTCATCAACAGTATGAAACTGATAATGTTATATTCAACCCTAATATTGTTAGAGCTATGCAACCTCAAAATATTGACTTGAAACGTTTGAGCAGCAGATATCAAGTGAATCTGTTTCTGTTTATCCATTTTTAAAAAAGTATGATTGTTTACAGATACAGCGACTCTATTGGAAGTATTTGAGGCCCTGGTCGAGCTATCTTACTTAATTCTCTATATAATGACTGTTTTAGATACAGCGACTCTATGGGAAGTACTTGAGAGCTGACAGCTATCGTAAAGCCCTGGTCTACCAGAAGAAGTATCTCCTGTTGTTACTGGGCGGTTTCCAGGATTGTGAGCAGACGACACTAGCCCTGATCGCCAGGATGGGGGCCTACCCCTCCCCTGAAGATTTACAGAGGGGGGCCAGGCACCGCAGACCATTCACCATGTTCAGAAGTGCTGCCAGGGTCGTTGTGGCTGTGTCAAGGTCAGATATTTATATATTCTTGTTGAGTGTTAAGGTCAATGTGTAGAGGTGCTGTCAAGGTTAGATATTTATATTTTATTATGCAGTGTTAAGGTCAGATATTTATTTTATTATGCAGTGTCGAGGTTCAGATATTTATTTTATTATGCAGTGTCGAGGTCACATATTTATTTTATTATGCAGTGTCCAGGTCAGATATGTTTTTATGCATTAATTGTTAAAAACTTTGAATTTTACAAAGCATAAAAGGATTTTTATTATATATTTGAAGTTACTTTTCCTAGGTTAAGGGACAGAAATCTTTAAGCTTATATTAATAATTTTAAGAATTTAAGATTTAATGATGTTTGCAATGTTCACAAACTTCTCTTGTTTTTGAAGAATTTATAAAATATTTTGAAGGTGTTGATGTTGAAGGGGCAGACAACCTTAAAATTATGCTAGTTAATCCATTATAATACTTGTACTAAATCTGTTGCTGTTTTAAGGATGCGTTTCCTGGTGAGGAAGTGGAAGAGAGCGACTCGAGTTGGGTCTCCCGTGATGGGGGGAACAGTGGACCTACAGCAAGGTAACGGAATCAGATATGATGTACAATTAAAAAAGAAAATTAAAAAGAAATTCGGAAGAGATTACATCTTGTTAAAAGCCAGAGTTAGAGATCTGTAGAAAGATGAAAAATGAACTCTGTGTCAGAAACTTAGGAATTATTAAAAAAAAGGGGGAAATTATCAGCTTTTTGAAAATTAAAAAAGAAAATTTGTTATTTCTATTGTCCAGTAAAATTTGACTGTTCATAGAAAGCTACTTTAAGGAAAGAAAAAAAACTTGATGTATCAGAAGCACATATTAAGATTTCAAACTGAAAAGAATGAAAGAAAATGAGGACTTGATTTGCACCAGACACTGGACACTTGTGATAAATCTTCAATTAAGGTTCATAAACCCTCTGCTCATTAATCAAAGATGCTGCCTTCATTAAATGATTTTTAAAATTTTACAAATAAAATAAAAACAATTATCATGATTATAGCATAGCTTTCAAGGTATAACTGGACAAAAAAAGGACACTTAACAGCTTTGCAAGTTTATAAAGAATGAAAGAAATTCCAGTCATGAAGAGTTATCTCTCTTATCAGAGTATCAATGAACCTTAAGTAAGAAATCCACTGTTTTATTTGCAGGTTACACACCAGATACACACAGTTTTTCACCGCCCCGCATCAACACACAGTCACGCCTGAACGCCTCAGGACAACTCAGCAGTCACTCATCATCCCCCCTCGTCAACACTCAGTCACGCCTCAACGGCTTCGGACCTCTAAACAGTCACCCATCAACCCCCCTCAATCCCAGCATTCCCTTGTCTCCCTACAGCCCCTCTTATCTGTCTTCCAGCCATTCTCAGCGAGACACCATTCATGGACCTACTCATCAACCACTAGAGGGCGCTTCTGGTGGTTACCATGTGAACGGGAGTGGGATAGCCAATGGGATTTCACCTTATCAGTCAGTGGGTGGGCCCTCTGAAGGTTACCGTGCCAATGGGAACTTTTCTGTTCATATGACCCCTCCCACCAGAGACTACAGCAGCAAACCTCATCCCTCCTCCTCGGAAACCTCAGGTGCTAGAAGGTAGGTCTGATGTAATCACCCAGGTGCTAGAAGGTAGGTCTGATGTTATCACTCAGGTGCTAGAAGGTAGGTCTGATGTAATCACTCAGGTGCTAGAAGGTAGGTCTGATGTTATCACTCAGGTGCTAGAAGGTAGGTCTGATGTTATCACTCAGGTGCTAGAAGGTAGGTCTGATGTAATCACTCAGGTGCTAGAAGGTAGGTCTGATGTAATCACACCTTTCTCAGAAAGCTCAGGTGCTAGAAGGTAGGTCTGATGTAATCACACCTTTCTCAGAAAGCTCAGGTGCTAGGAGGTAGGTCTGATGTAATCACACCTTTCTCAGAAAGCTCAGGTGCTTGGAGGTAGGTCTGATGTAATCACACCTTTCTCAGAAAGCTCAGGTGCTTGGAGGTAGGTCTGATGTAATCACACCTGATGTTATCACTCAGGTGCTAGAAGGTCTGAGCTCAGGTGCTAGAAGGTAGGTCTGATGTAATCACTCAGGTGCTAGAAGGTAGGTCTGATGTAATCACTCAGGTGCTAGAAGGTAGGTCTAATGTAATCACTCAGGTGCTAGAAGGTAGGTCTAATGTAATCACACCCTCCTCTGAACACTCAGGTGCTAGAAGGTAGGTCTGATGTAATCACACCTTTCTCAGAAAGCTCAGGTGCTTGGAGGTAGGTCTGATGAAATCACACCTTTCTCAGAACATTCAGGTGCTGGAAGGTATGTTTAGTACATACATGTAGTATTTTTTCTTTCTGTTAAATACATTTAGCATTAATTCGTATTGTTTAACCATTTTTATATTTACAATGTTAAGAAAGTGCAATACCAATACTTACATTACTTTTCAAAAAGTTGCATTATGATTAAGTAAAATAGTGGTAGAATCAAGCTACAGAAATGTACTTTTGCTTTTGACAGAAAAATTTTATCATCCACCATGTCCACCCCTTCTAAAAACACCACTGCCTCGCCGGTACGTCGAGTGAGAATATCAGAACCTGAATCTGTTCACGACGACTACATCAACCGACTAGAGAGTTTACAACAGAGACTCAGTAATATGGATTCAGGTGTGTCTAGGAACCCAGGTTCAAATCCTCTGATGGCTAACTGTTTTCTCACATATTTATAAAAAGGCTGATTCAAATCTTCTATAGTCTCAATATTTGCTTTTGTGTATAGAGATATATAATTTTTATTTTATGTACCATTTCATATCCTCTAAGGTGTTTACTGTTTGTTTAAAGCCGATGGTTCAAATCTGACTCATATTTAGATGTTGTAATGTTAGGAGCATCCAATATTTCATCCAAAAAAGATTGATAAAATTTTTAATTTATATCATTTTTGTCAATGATTTATTTAACTCCTTGAAATCATTTGCTTTGAAGCACAGTCTTATGATATGATAGAAATTATACTAAAACACGACAAAATCTGCAATTAATGCTTATGCTTTATGTATCGGCTTAAGATAAAGACAAGTTTCAACTGCTTGTATCTGAGATACATTGTACACATTTCTCCATTGAGGAGAATGGATTTACACTTGCATCTTTAAAATTCTACATGTACATTGAAAAGATACCATTGTAACAAATCATCTTTTTCATGTAATTAGTGCACGTGCACCAAGCACGATTTATTACCCCACAGATATTCATGATTTCCAGAAATATACACAACTTTATTTGAAGTCATCACACCAATCTTATTAAAATAAAATGTTAGATCCACTCCTATACTCACTGCTTTAACATCTTATAACATCAAGTAAAGGGTCACATCAGAGGTCAAATTCGGAAGAACTCAAGATTTCTTCGCTTCAAGATATATACAATGATTTTGCAGGTAATGATTTCATTGGTTGACAGAATTTGACCTCTGAGATGACCCTCAAGGGGATATTGTCAGATGTTAGTGTAGCAAGTATGGGAGTATCTAACGTCTAATTTTAATTACATTGCCATCACATGCATATAAAATAATTGATAATCAAGATAAAATGGTGTTGCACTTCTGATTTCATTGGAGCACTCATGCACCAATCACATTTAATTTATTTCTCTCACGACAGATGAAGAACATGTAGAAGACATTTTGTGATTCACATGTAAGCTCTGGTATTTTGGGGTCTGCTGGGAGTTTGATTCCTATGTATTTATACCTCTGTCTGTGATGTCCTCCAATCTATGTGCATCTGGTGCTTGTAAAGTTTTTGTGTGTACAGATTTTTGGTGTGATGTTATATGTTACTAACCTATGAAGTTTGATTAAAATTTCATCATTCATATTATCAAAATTGGTAGCACCTTATGTAGAACTGTTTTTTAAAAAATTTATAAGTAATATATTTTCAACATTTTTATTACACATCATGCTATACTTTATTTAATTATGCAGGATTCATAGTTCTGTGTCTATAACAATTGTTTTGAACTCATATCTTGCATACCATCAGATTACGAATGTTTTTTTATAAATATATTGCAAATAAAAAAAAATCATAGATTTTTTATTGCAGCAAGAAGCCTGTTTAGTGCTACACTTTCAGCAGTTTTAAAAGGCAGATAAACAAAATTTCAGTTAGATTATCAAACTTAAACAAATTGCAAAAATGGAAAAAATAAAGAAGTGGATTATAGTGGAACAAAAGGAAACCAGACTTTCCTGAATCAAAGGAATTCTTAAGTTATCTTTGAAAAATTCCGCATCACTAGCTTAATATCACTAATTACAATTTTGGGGGGGAATATTAGTACATTTATGGTTGGTAGCACTAGCTATATTATTATTAAGTTAGCAACATTTATAGCTTAGTATCAAGGCCGGGGTTTGGTTGTGGTGATATGGATTTAGTTTTGGTGATATGGAATTGGTTTTGAGGTTTGCTGTGATAAGTTATGCATATATGTATTTCAGGAATTGCATCTTCCAAAAAAAAAATATTGATCGATTAATCTTTTGATGAAGATTATACAGAATAATAATGAGTTGAACAGTTATGGATTCACACATTTAAATTTTTGAGTTAATATCTCCAATTTTAATTTTTACAGGTACACCAAAGTCAAGGTCGTATCCAAGGCGATAGTAACGGTTTTATACCAGAATTTCTCCAGCATATCTGTGATGTGATGTTGATGCCAAATAGCAGCATTTCAAAAAAAAATCCTGGAAGTGATGTCAAACAGCAAAAACATGTATCAATCAAACTGTTTTAGTGTCAATGTTGTGAAGCTGTGAGATATAAGATTTGTGTGTTGAGATGTCTCATGATATAAAAACCAAGCATATATTGTAACTGTTGAATGTTTTATAATTGTTCAAATGGGACCATTTAGAAAATAAATTCATGAATATTTTTCTTGTATGTTAAAACTGTGAAAGACATCCCTTAAAAGATAATTACATGTATATTTGAAAGTTCATTTCATGTTGGTCTTATTTTTATTTATTTACTTTTTTTATTATTTTTCCATTTTTAGAATGTTAAGTATATCTCTCTTCGTAACATCATTAAGTTTATGTAAAAAAAGAAAAGAAAATATAGCAATATTTTATGATATTACTCAAAGTAAGTGGTAAAGTGCTGAAATACAAGTGAAAATTATGTTTGTAATTTGTAATTCATTCATGTGGTATTAATTATTGTTGTTAGGTAGAATACACTGTATAAACTAGTCCAAATCAGCTGTGATTTTATATTCTGGTGAGGTAGATTTTTTAAAATACTGTTTACTTGATAATCATTGGAATAAATTTACAGCATTCTAACAACATGAATTTATATACAAGAGTCTGTACTGCCTATCAATTAGTTTTAAATTTAAAAGAGGAATATTCTAATTCATATCCAGTAAATATATTTTATTTGTCTATTGTTGTTTATTTAGCAAATCACAATTTTATATTGGATGTTATATAGATTTAAGGTATTTTTAATAAATTTTTGCTTCATTAGTACATAATGCAAAATACGATAGTGGATTTTTACACAATTTCACTATGTGTACATGTATTTTAGTAAATAAACACCAATCATCTATAAGACTAACAGCTTCTTTTATTTTTCAAAATTATATTACAATTGTTTATTTTAATAAAATATCATGGGTTAAAATTTTTTCACAGGTGAACAAAATAAAGTGATAAAATTTCCCCATATTCCATCACTGGAAAAGCTAAAAATGAATATTAAATTATACTACTTTCCTAAGGCTTTTGGGAATCAGTCTTAATTTAGAATTAAAGAGAATATATGAACTTGATGTTGGGCTTATTACATGTATCTGATATTTTAAATTATTTTAGCTTATTAAGCTGTCTCATAGTAATTATACTGGTAACAGAACTAATATGAACTTAATTACTTTCAGTATAACTGGGTCCATATTTCATTGACCATTCTTTTTGAACATTATATAGAAAACATGATAATTTTGCAATAAACACATGCCTTATTTATTGTAAACCCTGTCTGCAATTGATGTCATTTTAATTCAGTTGTGAATTTTTGTATGGACGTCTTTGGTGTATAATCTAGTGTATATAATTGTATGTTTGAATGCAGAATTGACAATTAAAATATCAAAATATATACCATACTCTGATTCGAATTGATTGTTTCTTTGCTATCAAGGGTTGAAGGAAAATGTCAAACTATTATTTAACAATAAACTATTAAAGGTGTATTGACGACGTTCTATCAATTACATGAAACAATATTTACTTAGTTCATTCCTACATTGATTCAATATATTACAGTGAACTCAGAGTGAAAGTTCATAAAGTCTAAATGCAGGAACGGCACAACATGGTGAGCACAACATTTCTTGACACAGTCACACTGATGATGGCCATGACAAAAAGAACGAGGGCACTTTTGATTGGCATTCGGTAGGAATCTGGGCGTAATTGAAAAGTGAAAATTCTATCGACATGTCACATGAAATTTTAACATTCTTTTTATTAATCGGGTTCCTGTCCAACAGGAAAGGAAAATATTTTACCAAAATTGAGCTTTAATTTGCTAAAAAATATCTTGAAAATAGGCCAGATCAGAATTTGGTACAAAATGGTACATTTTTATAAACACGTTTTTCTAAAATTTTTCTCTCTCTGGGTCTTCTCTCCATGATTTTGAAATGTCATTTGTGTGTATTTTAATTCAAAAAAACGAATATACCTTTTTAAAAAATGGAGAGAAGACACAGATACCACGAAAAACGAATTTTTCCCAAAAATATCCAAAAGTGTGAATGTGGTGTTTCTTTGTCCTTTTAAAATCGTTTGTATGTGTAAAGGGGCTATAGCTCAGTAAGTTGGGCTAACTGTTCATTGCACTGGAATTGAGAAGTTTTTGGTTCGAACCTGGCATGGGGCGTTATATTTTTTTCATGCCAACAACCATTTATTTTGTCAGTTCCATTTTATGTACTGATGTATTAAAATTTTGAATAAGATAAATTTTGTTTCAATTTGGTTCTCGATCGAAATCAATTCTAAATTATTTAATCTTCTATACTATATAATGTTTATTTTTTGTGAAACATTACTTTGTTATAGTACCCCCTAGGAAAAAACGGACAAAAATGTTACAAATGTTTCAAACTAAATAAAAAAAAACAACTATGGACTTGTGTGTTTGTAATATTTGACCATCTATGATGAGCCAACCAAACCATCGACATTTAACCCATAAATGTTTCGTACAAATGATTCCTGCAGATTACACGCCAAATGCGCCCATCTTCTTTGACCAAAAAATGATTATTTCGTAAAGAACGAGGGCGCTTTTGATTGGCATTCGGCAGGAATCTGGGCGTACTTGAAAAGTGAAAATTTTATCGACATGTCACATGAAAGAATCTGGGTGGATTAGGCGAGTCATATGCCAACGCAAGGGCAAGTGAAATATCGATTAAATAGAATCTTGCAAATTCAACTTTTTGTTAAATTTGGGAGTTATTTATAACCATATGCATACAGTAAAGATAAAACTTGAATCAAATTACATACAAATTAATTGTAATTAACCCACCAAAATGGTAATACGCTTTAGTAGCCGTAAAAATGATAGAAATGGAATGTTAAAACTGTGTTTTTCATATAGAGTGGGTGTTCGTACCATTGTTTTGTAAACAAATATTCAAAGGGTATGGAAGGATGTATCTCTCACCATTTTGAAAAAAATGGTACGAAGACCCACTCTATATAAAAGAGTTAGTTTACCTACTTAAACATGTTAAATTTCGCAACATATTCTCAAAAACTCAAAGTCCAGTTGTGCGTTTGCTTAATTTACATATAGAACTGTTTGCTATTTAAAAGAAAATGTCTGTGCGACTTCCTCATGTTCCTGGCTCAGTAGTCATAGCGGCGGAGTTGAAGCACCCAGTAACCTGTCGCGAGTGTTCTAATCATGATTTTTTAAATTTAGATGAACAATTTTTTTTTTTTTTTTTACAAAAAACAAAATGAATAGATAAGATGATGAATTTATTTACGGTCAATTAATGTTTTTCTTGTAGTAAACAAGTTTTCAAGCTACATGTGTATATAACATTTTAAATGCATTTAGTTCAAGACTACATCACACGATTAAAATGTAAACAAATTCAATCATGGGTAGCCAGCGCGATATGACTGTTCTGCATGTAAAAAACAGTTAAAAGGAAAGGTAAAGCGTACCATCTCCTAAACCCTGAAGACATACTTATTTGATAGAACAGTGAACACGCAATATGAAAAGCATCACGTTAAAAATATTGTAAACATATAGATATTGTCATTTGAACAGTGCTGTACAAAGTTTAAATGGTTAAGTAAATCGTGCAACTATGAAATTTCCGAAATGCTTACAGAGCGACAAAATCCGTGTGGGCATGCCATATGACTCGCCTTAGACCCCAGATTCTTTTAACAATTTTTTTATTTATCGGGATCCTGTGCAACAGGAAATGAAAATATTTTCCCGTAAAAAATAACGTTTTTCTAAAGATTTTCTACCTCTGGGTCTTCTCTCCATGATTTTTAAACGTTATTTGTGTGTATTTTAATTCAAAGAAACGAATACACATTTTTAAAAAATGGAGAGAGGACCCAGAGACCACGAAAAATGAACTTTTCCCCAAAAAATCCAAATGTGTGAATCTGGTGCTTCTTTGTCCTTTTAAAATCATCAGTATATGTGAAGCGCTGATAGCTCAGTAATTTGGGCTACCTGTTCAGTTCACTAATAGTTTTTAGTTCGAGCCTTGCATGGGGCGTTATTTTTTTTTCATGCAAACAATTATTTATTTTGTCAGTTTCGTTTTATGTACTTATGTATTAAAATTTTGAATGAGATATATTTTGATTCAGTTTGGTTCCCGAGCGAAATCAATTCCAATCTTCTATTCTATAATGTACATGTACAAGTATCGTGCATCTGTGCAATAAATATTTTAGGTGTTTATTTTTTGTTTAAATTACTATGTTATAGTACCCCTTAGGAAAAACAGACATAAATGTTACAATCTCACAAAGTCTTTAAAACTAAATGAATAAAAAAACCTATAGACATATCTGTAAAATCTGACTAGCTATGTTCAGCCAACCAAATCATGGACATTTAAAACATAAATGTTTCGTACAAATGATTCCTGCAGATCACACGCCAAATGCGCCCTTTGCATAGGAATTAATGAACAATTGAATATTTAGGAAGTAATGTTGCAACCACTATGGAAATAACGATACAATTGAAATAATTATTCCAATAGTGGTTGAGAGTGCACAGTATGACCACTAGTGAAACACATTCTGATTAAAATCAAACCTTCATTAGCTCCTTTTATTTTGTTTGTCGCGTTAAGGTCACTATTTGAAAAATTATTTTAATAGTGATAAACAAATAGATTTTAAAATGATTGAAATATTGATTTCAATAGTACTTTAAACAATGATTCCAATAGGTATTAAAATATATAATTAATAGTTGCTGACAATGATTTCAAAACCACATTGCGAGCTCTATAGAATTGTCCCAATTATCAAAACAAATACTAGTATAAGGATAAATTACACATTCTGTTTTCTAACACAATAAACAAATTTATTGAGTTTAAAATATGATATATAAAGTTTTGTATTCTTTTTGTAGAAAATTTTAATTACTCCTCGGACACTTTTTATTATTTTTATTATCCTGATCTACATTTTAATTCAAACATGTGTGCAAATGTAATACGCAAGCTCCCGCTGAATCTGGCCGATCGTCAAAAACCAATACGCAATTGAAATCAATTAATATATGTAATTTTGAAAAAAAAATATATAAAGTTCATTTTTGTCATTGATTTTTAAATGAAAGAATCATGAATACATGTAAATGCAGAAATTAGAATATTTAGACTTCATTGAAATGAAGGAAGAAGACCGATAATTTTGTGTATATACAATCTTTCTGATAAAAATACGGATATTTTCAATATAAAGAATTTGGAATACACAAAGCCATTGTATGCACGGGAAATGGAATTCCCCTATTTTCGTTTTGAACAGGCAGCAATATTGATCGAACTTCTGAAGATGGACAGGACCATTTTACATGTACATTTGCAAATCCATTCGATTCGACTCGTGATCGTGACAGTGACATAAACATTTCCATGGCTCCGGTCAGTCCAGTTTGTTGTCAGTTTTGTTTCTTAAATTAATTAAATTTGAAGCTTCTTATATTCATGATTTAGCCAAAACAGACCAGAAACAACTGCTTTCTTTGTTTATTCGATAACAAAGAAGCTTGATCAAGAAAGTAGTTCTGATTGAAAAAATTCATCGATGTGTTAAACGTGCTCTCGTCCAATCAAAACACGGGAAATCAATAGATAAAATGAAGATTGGAATTATATAGAAATATAATATATAGGACAATTCTTTAAAAAATCTTCTCAAAAAAAGAAAAGCTTGTTTGATCATATTGATATGGAAGCATCCTCAGTTAAGGTCAGACGAGACGTTCCCCAAAAATCTGTTTTGTATATCTTTGTAATGTATGAAAAATATTCAAAATTTTAATAACATTCTGATTTCTAAACCAGTTTCTACACCTTTTTAAAAAATCCATACACTTAAACATTTGAAATTGGAAAATTATTTTTCTTCCTCAAAGGATTATATAAGAAAAACTACCCCTTGTATCTTGCAGAAATGCCTGGTAAGGTACCTCAATTTTTTGTGAGTAAGCATGTTTTAGTAGCAATACTTAAATGACAAACTCTTAGAAAAATTTATCTATTATTAAGGAACGTCTCGTCTGTCCTTAAATGACAAATGGCAAACCAAAATTTCTACATAGAAATATATAGGATAATTTAATTTAAAAAAAATCTTCTCAAGAATAGAAAAGCTTTAATTGATGTTATCTATATCGAAGCATAATCAGATATAGATATAGTGCAGATTCAAGGACTTTAAATTTATGACCCCTGGGGGAAGGGGAGCTAGGGGCAAAATGGCCAAGCAATAGGTTGTGTAAATTCAAATTTGTTCAAATCATGACCCCTGGGAGTACCGCGGTGCCACAATGGCCGATCAAAGTTTTACATAAAAA